AAAAAAACATTATAGTTAAGAAATACAATTCATGTAAAATAATTATAAATTATTTAGATACACACAGAAGTCCTTAGTGTCCACAAATTTGGCTCTCTACAAGCCATTTTTTTTGCATTCTTTTTGAATGAAAATAATGACAAAGAGTCTCTGATGGTTTCTGGCACTGTGTTCCATTGCTGAGTTGAATAATGTTTAGTTTTTATCATGTTTCTCATTCTGAGCACACGTTAATGCAGCATTTGAACATTTTTTTTTCAGATTTCTTCTTATTTCAACATATTCTCATTATCAGTTCGTATGAAATCGTACGAAAAGTTATGCACACTATTTCGTACGTTTTGGACGTTTTTCCTCAAAAAACCACATCAGTGCGCATGCGCTGGCAGACAGAAAAAACAAGCAGATCCGCGGACGGACGTAAAACTGGGAAAAAACAGTGCAATCATCACTTATTCATGTCTCTAACTACGTTGCTTGCTGTTTTATATCTTAGGGTTAGGGTTAGGGCTAATTGTAATTTATATTCTATATTCGTGAATGGTGCGTCAGATGCGCATGCGCATACGACGAAAAAAACGTCCAAAATGTACGAAATTACGGTGCATAAGTTTTCGTACGATTTCATAAGAACTCATAATGAGAATACACTGCTTATTTGCACTTTTATCTGAAGATGTCTGATGACGTAACTTACCAACAAAAGCTGGTGTCATGGCTCAACTAAAATACTGCAATCCTGGAAAATTATTCAGTCTCACAGGAACTCATGTAACCTTGCCTGCAATATGAATTCTTGTGTTAACTGTGCGTTGCTAAACACATAAGAATCCATCTTGTCCTGCTGCAACCAATCGAGACTAAACCAAAACGTGTCGGCTAGTCCTGTTGCAGCATGATGTTTTAAGGTGGGTTATGCAGACGTGGAGTAAGCAGTAACAATGTAGAATGGAGCTTAGCTGCTGCTGTCACATCTGTCCTGTAAGGATCCGTAATTTTGTCTTTGAAAGAAGATCAGAAGGACTTGCTACATATGTTGAAAGGCATTTCACACCAAACCAAACTTTGGTAGGCAGGAACTAGGTGTCATTTGGCCCAATCAGCTCTGAAGGTTCTGCTACATGTCTCAACTTTACCCAGATTCAATAAGGCTCAGATTGACAATGTGCAGAAATAAGGCAAGAAGACTACACATTATAATCTGGCTTGCTAGGTTAGGACTCATAGACGGATTACTTAAGCCTAGATCTTATTTTCAGGAATGCATATGTACATTTTTACTGTTCTTCTCTGCAGAAAGGCTCAAACAGGAGAAGAATGCATTAAGATAAAGTTGTTCCCCTTATCAGAACTTCAAAGTTTATGACACGATTTTCTATTTTATGTCCTGCTGGGGAGATGTGAGGCACCCTGTACTGATTTTCTGTTTGATTTAAACACTTTTAGGATTGCATTTGGATCATCTTTTTTACACAGTATGTTTTAAATAATGATCTTTGAAACATTTCATTTGATCTGCTTTTGGTTGTTAAAACATAAAGCCTCTCAATAATCTTTCTGTATGAATGCCATCCTTTTGCATATGTGTTTTCACTTTGCTAACCCTGATAATATTTCATTGGTTGATGGAAACAAAGCTTACATACATTAATGAATGTGAAGTGCCGTGCATTCATCATAACCGATAAAGCATAATTATTCTGGAGCAACCCTGCAGTAGGATGCAGAGTCCTTGGCTTTCTCTCTTCTTAGATGTTTTTTTTTTATGAACAATGAATCATTCTTTATATGCCTCTTCACATTTTTTTTCAAAACAGAACAATTTATCTGAGTTTATTGAAAGAGAGGTTACAGTGTTCTAAGGCATTCTGGGAAAATATACCGTTTTGTTCACATTTCTTACAGATCAGAATACCATGTTTGTATTTCTAGACTTTTTATAATGTAGTTAAATTGATTGAGAACTTGATATTTTCATGTTTCTTTTTTGTGTTGGTTGATATTTTATAAATTGGAGGTACTATTATTCACTATATGTACATATTCCATATATAGTAAATGAAAATCATTGATATTCTGGTTCATTTGCATCTATGTTAGGGTAACGGCATGCGTCCAGTTACTATACGTCCCTGCATTTGTTCCATTGTTGCCCACGCAAAGCTATTTTTAGTTTCAGTGGCGTGTCAAGGTGTGATCAGGTTGCACGGTGTGTAAGTAGACTCTTCTTTGTCCTGTGTGATCACTTTAGACAGACGGCCACTAAAACTTTCATCAGTTGGGAGGTCAGATGTGTTTTACAACCCTTTTTTTAGGGGATAAGTGCTTTTTCTTTCAACTGGAATCCAAAAAACAAATGTATCAATTGAAGGAGACTTTTAAATCTCTGAAGGATTGTGTTGATATTAATGAATGTGAAGAATAATTGAATTCCCTTTGAATTTGATATTTAGTTCAGTTCTGCTAAAAAGAATTCTGGAATGGGATAAATAGGGAGACAGTAACAGCAGTTGTACAATGTACTTATAAAACTTAAAGCTGGAGAAAATAAGCCATGGTCAATAATTTAAACAAGTTTCCTATAATCTTATATATATATATATGATCTGTGCAAGGGCTGCACAGTGGCTCAGCGGGTAGCACTGCTGCCTAGCAGCAAGAAGTTTCTGGTTTCGATTCCCAGCCTTGGGTCTTTCTGCATGGAGTTTGCATGTTCTCCCTGAGCATGCGTGGGTTCTCTCCGGGTACTCCGGCTTCCTCCCACAGTCCAAAAACATGACTGTTAGGTTAATTAAGGTTAAGTGTCTAAAAATTCTCCTTAGGTGTGAGTGTGTGTGTGAATGGTTGTTTGTCCTGTTTGACTCTGCACTGCCCTGCGATGGACTGGTGACCCGTCGAGGGTTTCCCCCGCCTCTCGCCCATTGACACGCTTATCCCCACTTGGGATAAGCGTATCAGATAATGGATGGATGGATATTTTTTGCAATTAAGAGAAACAAAACAATGAAAACAGCAGAAAAAATTTGGCGGCATTGGTGAGAACACTGTACCAAATACATTTTCAGCATTGAGTTGCCTTATATGGCTTTGCAATGTTGGATGTTCCTATTTTGAAATTTAAGTCTTAGTTTGTCGTCTTAGTTTGCAATAATTTTGCTAATTTGCAAATAATATTTAACTGTTCATTTTTTCAGTGTTTGGTTTGTTGCAGGATGCGTCTGGGCTTTAAAATCCCAATCAGGTGATGATGATTTTAATGCATATCAATATTAGTCTGATGGGCAGAACCGGGCCAACATTAACAACATATGTTCTTGTTCAGTCGTTCTTTTTGTTTTAGGAGGGTGGGGGAAGGTTATTGGTCATGTGATAGTGATTCAGCACTGGATTGTGGGTGTTTAACCAGAGCAGAGTAGCAATATCAGTACTTTGGTTGCTTTTTCTCCAAAGGGTAAAGATGCAAATACCAGGTATTGGCTATAGCAGCAATATTAATATTCAGATCTTGACATCTGTGGATTGATACTCTTGATGGTGTCTATCCACACTACCAGAATACATTTGCCCTCCTCAAACTGTTTCTGCTCGTCATACAACCAGCATCCCAAATATATTTAGTCTGAATGGATCCTAATTCAGATCAATCCTACTTCCTTAAGCGGAACTTGATTAGCTGATGTTTAATACTGTAAATATATTTTTCGAATGATAATTTTTTGCAGTATAGCTTTAAAAAAAAACAATACTAAACATTGTGCCTTTTGAAGTATGATGAGTAAAGTGATCAGATGTAATAGAACAAATAAAAAAGAGGCTCTTTATCATATTTCTATGAAAAACAATATGTTGTTATCTTTGGATCGGATTTTATTGCTCATGCTTTTACTATTTGGTATGACCTGACACTTTGATCACAATGTAGTATGCAATTGTTTTATATAAATAAAGATTAAATGAATAAATACAGATTGAGCAGACCTTCCGTGCGTCTAAGGTGTGGCTTTGCTGGATAAAACCTTATTCATCTTATTTAAACAACCCAACTTGCCAGTTCCTGTTTTACTCCCGATAAAATCAAACTCTAACCTCTTTGCCCCATAGCTTTTGCAAATATGTGGCACAAAATAAAACTCCAAAATACACCATAGCCAGAGTGATCCTGTGGGATGAGGACTGTGGACAAGAGCCTTTCCTTATTTGAATTTAAAATAGCCCACACTGCCAGGCTTTCCTTTCTAATTTCATTTTATCCACTGAAAGATTAGTTTTTTCCACAGAGGATTTTACTCATCAAGCTTAAGAATATTCCTGCCGCTTATTGTTAATTTAACCAATTTGAATTTAATTAGTGCAATTTCATGTGTTATTGAGATAATATTCGTATCTTTCAGTGTAGCTAAAAAGCTTTGAACATTAAGGATTGAAGTTCTTAAGATTTAGGGATCTAGATTAAGCAGAACTTGATGTTCGGTGTCTTTTACAGCCATTTCTCCCCCAAATTTTCAGGATTGGGATTGGAATTACATCATCGCGTATGACTAGAGATTAATATAGGTGGTAAATTAGCACTGGAGAGGCAGAGGAGAGAATGTGAAGAATTTAAGGAACAGCTGAACATAAATCTGAGAGGGTTAAAAAGAGGAAGAGACGACTGCTGAGTCATCCTTAGACAGAACACAACATCTCCGACTCTTTCTCGTCACCATGAAGTGCCGCTGGCAGTCTCTCCTCCAAGCTGCTCCAAGTCCTCCTCAAATAAATATCTGCAGCTGAACCGGAAAACTATGAATAATTAATCTACTAACTAAGTCGCACTGAAACCCAAGTTCTTGCAGTTATTCGTTGACTTGTCAGCACGCCAGCTGCGCCAGAATCTGGCAGCTCAGTTTCCTATTGTCACCAGTGTGGTTGGGACCATGTTGCAGCCTTTTATTATTGCTAATATTATTATTAAAAAGTGATATTTGAAAATGTTTACGTCTGTTTTTGCTTTTCTGCAGGAAAGCCATCTCTAGATCAGGCCTCCATTACCTCGGCCCACCTCAGCCAACGTTCCCCCCAGCCTCCAACGGACCAAACAAGGAGCTCCGTACCTGTGTGGACTGGACGGTGAGACACTCAGACTAGCTTAGTTATTTGCATTTATTTACTTACTTGTGGAAAGTATAAAAAAAAAGTATAAAAACTTTTTAAAGTTTCCTATCTGTCTGAGTCACGCCATGACATTTACAGTTTCAATTTAACAGATTTGTCAGCAGACGGTTTCCCAGTCATACATTTCTGAGGATACAAAAAAAACAATCATTTCCCTCCTTTTCTTTATTTATAATGCGGGAAGATGTGTAAGCAGTGTGGGAGAGAAACTTTCATGTCACCGTTTCACAAGATATGACTTTTACAGCATTTAATGGATTTTGTTTATAAAACATGAATCATGAGACTGAAAAGCTGCTTTAAAATACTCTGTGCTGCAAAGAGTCGCAGGGGAGCTGGGGAAAATGTCAAGAGGCGACGGAAAGTACGCATAAGACGGTCCAAAAGTGCAGAAAGAGTTTGAGTTGGCATTTTTATTTGCAGATAAACCCCATTAGCTTTCACTTCCTACATAAACAGACGCTCTAAACTTGAAATCTAAAGTGCTCTGTGGTTCTGCACAAGTAAGTAATAACAGAAGGGCTGCAACTAACAATTATTTTGCAAATCCATTAATCTGTCGATTATTTTTTTGAATTAATCAATTAATAAATGGATAGCCAAAGGTTCCTTAGAGAAGATTTTTTCAAAATGAATCTGGGTCATTCTTAAACTTTTCCACTTGAGGAGTTCTGGATAGATCACATTGAGAGACAAAAACATTGTTTCTATCTTAAATGCAAAATGTTTATATATTATTTTACAGTTACTGCTGTAAGAGGGTTGCTCTGTCAGTTAAAGTTATAATTTACAGTTTCTATGCTTCAGTTAATGATTAATCCTTTCAGACAATCATCATTTTAGCCCTAAATAACAGCATTTATAAGTTTTCACCTTATAGTGAAAATAGTCACATTGTGATAAAATAATCTTTCATCTGGATCGCTTTATTCTAGAAATCAATGGTGCACATTTTTTGGGTTTCTCTGCTGATCACCTCCTGTAACCCTCTTTAGCCAATAAGATTTTCCTGTTGATTTAGAGCAGATGGAGATAGGGATCACAAACTGTTCCTCTCTGAACAATCTTTCCAGATTGTCCTGGGCCGTCTCTCATATTCCCTTCAGGTCAGTCCACCGGTTTTTGATGTTTAGGTTTGAAGAATCTAAACTCAAAGACCTGATGTATTGAGTATTAACTTTGTTAAATTGGTATAGCAATCAGCCATATTTGTTATTTCAACTTTGTGCAAACCAATGCCATGTTTCCTCTGCATTGAATCTCTGCCTTAGGGAACAGTGAGCAGCTTGCAGCACCCGGGGAGCTCTCTGGGGTTTAGGATCTTCTTCATGGACCCAGGGGGGTAGTCAGTGGGATCCAAACCAGAGCCTTCCAAGAACTGAAGCGCCCTTCTTTGTGGGCTAACTCTTCTTTTCTATAATAGAAACCAACTGGGACTCAATTTGACTTAAATACGTAGGACTTGTGAATTGACTTGGAATTGAGTACCTTTACTTGAAATAAATTCATGCTCTTCCAGAACAACTCATTATGAATATAACAGTGGACATGCAGTACTTCCACATGTCCAACAGGACCATTTTATTGTGGAAAAACTAAGGTTGTCACGATACTAAACTTTTCAACTCGATACCGATACTAAGGAAAATATTAGATACTCGATACCATTTTCGATACCACAAGGATAAAATTTCAACAGAAATATTTTGATAAATAATTAAAATACAATAAATAAATAAATACAATAAACAATAAGAACAACATTTTGAGGTTGTTTGCTGTGCACAGTATTTAGCAAGCTTGATAAAAAACTTACAAAATTAAAATTAAGTTTTCCTTACTTGGCTATGCTTTGCACACATAACAATGACACTAGCCAAACCAGTTAAGAAACAAAAATAATTCTCAGCAGCTGCACCTGTTACAAAAAAAGTCTGAAACTGAAAAGTGCACAGAATTATTCGATCCCACAGTGTTCAGAAAGTGCATTTTCCTCTATTCTGCACTTTAGATGAATGACTGTTTAGGTGCGACTGGTACTTGATACTTTTGAAAATCAGTATTGTATCCGGATACAACATTTCAGTATCGATACTTTTTTGAGTATCGATACTTTTGACAACCCTAGGAAAAACACAATCTTAAATCCCGCTAGATTAAAAAAACAAAACTCTGTGTGATGGTAGGATAGAAAATATATGTAGATGTTGGCTCTCCAAAAGTGATTTTTGGGGACTTCTTCTTATGATCCTCCTCTGGTTGGTGACCAGATAGGTTTGGGTTATCATCCAGTCTGGGGGCCAGTGGCTAAAGCATATTAATGAAATCCTGTAAACGGTGATCCTACATGGAGAATAAAATGCTTAAATGCCTCGGGTACATCTATTTAAGTTAGACCCCCTTCTTTTTGTTGTCCTTTTGAGATAAAATCATTTTTCACATATTTCAGCAAGCCTTTAATCTTAGGAGGGAAAAAAATCCCAATTTAACAAGCACCCAGACTTTTTATCTATTGATTTGATTTAGTTTTGTTGGTGATGTATGTTGTTGTTCCAGTTATGCTGAGCTGCTTTTAGACTTTCACACAGTAACAAGTGTTGGAAGAATGGAAAATTAAAACCTCCCTCTCACTCTCAGGCCTGTTTATTATGACTACAGGATGTTTACTTAAACCTTAAAAACCAAAGGAATTTAATATCCCCAAATATTTCAAGTATCAATAATAATAATAATAAGGTGCCACGGGTGTAATGATGTGTCGTCGTGAGTAGATCAGCTCTCAGGACATCATATATCATTAATGAGCTGCAAATAAAACATGCTTTATTATTAATGAGAATGTGTTAACTGTTTTGGGAACACATGGAGCTACCTGCAGGGACATTTCCAGCACATCCTTACTAACCTTTAAATCTCTGCATGATGCATGCTCATTCATTTATATACATACACTCTATATATGTGTGACTGGTCATTATTTTCTAACACATTTCTTAAAGTCATACTACAAGATATATCCCCCCCGAAACGTTAATGTCTTTGTCTCTGTGGAAAATAGCACAAGTCAACCAACTTCAGACAGCATCTTAACAAGCACAGCAGATGCGCCGAGCTGTCCCCTCCTAAACGGCACAGTGGTTGGACGCGGCACCCACTGCTATCTTAGATTTGTTTCTGAGGATGAGCCAGACTTTCTTTCCATTTAATTCACGATTCTCCACACAAAGCAGGCTGTTTGAAGTCCAGCTCTGTAAGTGTGGCTCTATTTAACTCAAAAGTTTTGAATTACCCAATCAGAACCATAAAAAACTCTGATGACATCATCGTTTCCTAAAGTGCTTTAGAGTAACAGTGCAGGAAAACCTTTCACTTTGGAAACTTTGCTCTGATTTTTTGTTTAATTTTATATTAAACACAGAAGAACAGCATTTGTGGGGTTTTTTTAAATAGGGGATCTAATGTCAGGGGATTTATTTGATGTTTTTGTGACATAAAAATCAGCTTTTCTGATTTTCTTTGAAGCTCCATTTTTTACATCCCTTCATGTGTTGGTATCGATTTATTATGTGTGTGCCGAGCGTTAACTGCTGCTTCTGAAGTGTTTTCTGCTGCAGTGAAATTACCTTACTACTCAGCAACCGCATTTATGCACTCGACACTTACTCCCCGTAATCTTCTCTAAGTGTTTCTGTGCATTTGATTGCAGATTTATATACGACTGAACAACAACTAGGAGGACTGGGAAGGGAGACATGCAGGTGGATCATGGCTGCCTATTAAGTGATAATTCTACCCTCTTTCTCCTCCTGTGACTCTGCAGGAGAACGCAGTGAACGGAGATCACTTGTGGACAGAGACGAGTTGTTCAGGAGATCTCTGTTATCTTGGGGAGGACGCTTGTCTCCTAAAGACCACAGTGAGTATGGACTGATCACGTCTCCGCGTATGTGCAAACTGGGAAAGAAGAAGCAGGTGGTTTTCCTAGGATTTTATTTCTGCATCTATCTGGTCCTCGAGCTGTTAGCTGTCTTTCTTTCTTCTAAAAAAAAAAAATCCATCGTCTCTGAATTATAAATAATTCAGTTCAACTTTGAGACCATCTGAACTGAATACTAATGCTGGGAATACATGAATATTCGATCTATAGAGTTTAAACAAGTCACTCATTTTAATCCTCTGATATTTTTTATGCACAGATTTTACAACTTTTCATTCTGATTATATATGAAATGTTTAGTTAGTATTATTACCCGATTTATCACTTAAAGCTTTTGCTTTTAATGGCCTTTTCAAATCTTGAAGCACAAATAAAAGAGTTTCTAAAGAGCTCGGAAAATTGCTTGATTTAGATGTGAAGAAATATGGACGTTTTCTAACTTTCTTTTCCATCTAACTGAATTAAAGTAGTATTTAGTAATCCATCTTTCTGGTTTGCCTTTTAAAATTTGTCTATTTTATATAATTTATTTCCTTTTAACATTTTGTGTTTTTTTTATTTGTTGGCTGGAAAAGGGCTTAAATTCTTGTGTTTATTTTAGAAATATTGAGAAATATGCGTTGAAATAAAGAAGCAATGATAAAATTGTTCTTGGATTATTTACTTGCTCTCGTAGATCCAGACTAATTTGACTTATTTTTTTTTAATCAATCTTCAGGATTTATGAATAAATTTGTTTTTAAACAGGGGACTTTTGTTTATTTTTGTTTTTTGCATATTTTCAGTCCAACTCCTGATTATTAACTGTGGAATACTTTATTTTATAGGTGCAAAAAGCCTTAAATTAAATTAATCTTTAATGGCACTAGCATATAGGATTTTCACGATGCTAAAAATTCAACCCAACAATATCCAGGAAAATATTTGATATTTAAATCCATTTCAATACCATTGGGATAAAAAATGCTTAACAATTAAAGGTATAGTGGAGGATTTTTGCAAATTTTTGAAAAGACCCACCCCCTCCACTTAAAAAAAAGGCACTTTCACAACACTGTACCCAATTAAATACCTAAATGCCTCGTCTATTAAATTTCTCCTTGTGCACGCTCTGTTTAAAAGTTCCTGCTTGCATCGCTCATACCAGCTTACTGTGTCTTAATGTCCGTCCTAACCCCTAAATCCCTCAATCACTACATAGAGCGGGGACTTCATAGTGGACTTTATACTGAACTCAGTTGAGTTACCACACCAAAATGATTGACAATTAGGAGGAGCGCTTATGTTGTTGATCCACCTGGAAAAAAGAACATCCTCCCCATACCTTTAAAGGTTTCAAAAAAACATTTTACTTTGAAAAAGCGCAAAGATTCCAGTTAGATAAATGTGCAAAATAAATAACCCAAAAAACTAAGATTAACAATAGCAAAAATAGGCAAAAACATTTACCTTTAGTATCAATACTATGCCAAACTACTATTGTATCTGGATACTTTTCATAGTGTTGTTACTTTTGACAGCTCTACTTGCATAATTCATCACAGATTTCAGTTTTAACCTCTTAAGCTCTACAGCTCTTTTTAAGGTTTCTGCTCGAAAATGACACACCCAAAATGAATAGAGTACAGCTCTGCATCTACAATTATTATTTGAGTAATTTTGGTGTCATAATAAAGGGAACATCTGGGACTTTTGTTCAAGTGTATAAGTATCAGTATTTATGTCATTAGCCCAGAGTAAATTAAGAAGGAACACAAGAAAAAATGACTAATTTCACTTCCGCCTAAAAAAAGCCTCACTTTTTCAATGAATATCTCTTTAAAATGATGCAGATGGAGGTAAAAATCTATATCCAAGCATTGCACAATGTATGACCATTATCTCTGTAATTTTGCTGTACTTCATAAGGACCAATCTTTGCAGAGGTTTTAGTACAGACTATTCAGGCGGGCTTTCCAAAATGGCCATCTTGGCACATTTTGGCACCACCTGTTCCAGGTTAGAGGTTTTTGATGTCATTCATGTCATTATTATAGTTTTTTTTTTTTTTAGATTTTTCCACTGTGTGTCATCTCGTGTTAAATAAGCGTTTTCAGAAAAGCTCTATATGCAGGCTAATATCTCGGCAGTGGATTGGTCGATTTAGATGATTGACATCTCGTTCGAACCGTTAGAGCCAATAGAATGTCGAGGTCATACTGAAATTTGTGTCAGACACAGGATTGGCTAACTATAAGGAAGCAAATGCATCAAATGCTAAACAAACTTTTTTATGTTCGTCCAATAGGAAGTCTCCTAGTAAAAAATGTGAAGTTAGATTGAAGTTGGTAAGAGTTGAAAACTAACGGAGGCATGTTGGACTTACTAAATCCAGCTTTTTTACTTTCAATTACAAGTCTTCACATAATTGCAAAGGTCAGACACAATTTCTGTCAGTAATTTTAAGTAAGCGGTTGTTTATGTTTGTATTCTTTGGCTGCTGGTTCACTCAAGTAATAGTAGTGCTGTTGAAATCGTCTGGATCTTAGCTTTCATATAATATGCTGTTTGTTCGTCTACCATGAAGTATCAGAGAGGTAGCGATGGAAATGTGCAGAGGAGGTGGACGCTCTGACGTTTTTGATATTTATACATCAATATGCTTGGTGTTTGGGTTGTGTTTAGTGTATGTTAAAATGACTTTTATCTGCTTGTAGCACAGTTTCTCCTTTTTAATTTGATGTATGGTATGGCTACATTGGTACATAATTAGTGCAGCATTGTGCCCCAATTGGGGGACCTTGAAGTTCAAATATCAAACTTTTATTTCTATAACCTTTTTTCTGTGGAGAACCATTTGATTTTTTTTCTTTCTAACCGTATTTTTATTTGTAATTTGATATTCAGTGTTATATAAGAAATCAAAGTATTTTCAGTACAAGATGTCACTGCATGGAAAGATTCATTTCTGCACTTCATCATGTGAAGTTTCTTTGACTTAAATCACATAGTCCATAAAATGATTAGACTTTCCAATGCAGGATCATTGTAACCCCAAATGTCTGTTACATTTATACCAGCTGTGTTTTACAGCATAAAAACCCTGACAGCAGTGAAACCTTCCTGCTGAGAGGCATTAACAGCAAACATGTTTAAATTACAGGTATAGTGAACCCTGTGTCCATTTACACACCTCTTCCAGAGAATGGCTGCTATTATAACATCGGCCTGAGAAACAACCATCACTTTCACAATAAAATAATGACACATCTGAGCATTACCTGCAGCGAGGCGATTACAGCAGGTTTAGAAGAACACGACTGGACTTCAGACGAGAAGATTGCTCTAACATCCAGGCTCATTTGTGCTAGTTTCTTTGTCAGTAAATTACATAATTTTTTAAACTGAAGTAAGGGTTGATACACTAAAATATGTTCAGTGATTTAAGGTTGGTTTACTTGTTGCCAGTTCTATAACGCTTATTTTCATTATATATAATAATGAATAATATAGTATAGTAAAGCTAATTTTTAACGGGTAGATTACAACTTTTTTTTTTACTATTTAAGATTTCAATTAGAAAACGTCTCTCTTATATTTGCCTTTATTGATTTGTAATCAGTGATTTTTATTTTGATCTCAGTCTGAAAGTGAAAGTTTTCTTAAAAAAAAAGAAGAAAAAAGGATGTTTAATCATCCGTCTAGCATTAAGTGGTGCCATTAAAAGTGACCCTTCAGCGTGGAGATCAGACTGCACCGTTATTAACTATCATCATCATGTCAGTAGAGATAGTACCCTTACATCATAAGTGTTTGTGCTTCACTAGAAGCACCATGTGATCAATGATTGTTGAACGTATCATCAGTGGTTTGTGTGTCTCACTCCGCTTTTTGCTCCCTGTGTGTCCTTTAAGAAGTCGGCCCCCAGGAGGAAATGCGCCGCTTGTAAGATCGTTGTTCACACCAGCTGCATAGAGCAGCTAGAAAAGGTACGGCACTCAAACACCAACCCACTAACGCTGCCCATCCTTCACGTCTGACGTTTATTGCTTTAGAATTGAATTCAGTCCACCCTTATTCCCCACAAATTCTGTCGAGCCACTTTCAGGCCCCAGATAAATGCTTTCAGACTCATGAACGCGGCCCGTCTCTCTGTTCAGATTAACTTCAGATGCAAGCCGACCTTCAGGGAAGGAGGATCCCGATGCCTCCGAGATGTGAGTGTTTCTTCCTGTCAGCATGTGTGTGTGGCTGTAAACATGAGGAATCACGGCCCTGCGTGTGATTGTCTGCCGACAGAACGTATTGAGACACCATTGGGTCCACAGGCGGCGGCAGGAGGGCAAATGTAAACAGTGTGGGAAGGTAGGTTCACCACGACGCAGAGACGCTCCTGAAGTCATTGAACAGAGACAGAACAGAAAAAAAACTCACTGTGAATCTTTGTTCTTTCAGAGTTTTCAGCAGAAGTTCTTCCACAGTAAAGAAATCATCGCCATCAGTTGTTCTTGGTGTAAACAGGCTGTAAGTAACTCATTTATCTTAATAATTGAGTTATTTTGTCAGGGCTCAGAACAGGGAACCCAGTATTCAAATAGGCTGACAGTATGATATTTCAAAAGAGATTTATTTAAAACAGATGGATCCGCAGTTAGCAGCTAGAGCGTCTAAGGCAGGAACCTCTGGTCTTAAAGTTCAGTCTGTGCCCAGAGGGCGAGGTTGATTCCAACTGGTCGACTGTCAGCAAGACGCAGGGAACGCTGCCTAGAGATTCCCAGATGTTGAAGCCCTGATGACTGAAGAACAGCAGGAGATCAGATCCAAGCAGACAAAGGAAGGCAGGATGATCCAGAGGGCGAAGCCAAAGCCGGTATCAAGGAGATTCCAAGAAGTCCAGACCAGAAGATCAGAGATCCAAAGAGGCACCGAATGGAAATCCAGGGCAGTTTCAGGGTCGTCAATAGGCAGAATCTAGGAGGAGTCCGAAGACAGGTCGGGCAAACAGATCAGAACAGGGACAGGCAGGCTCAGAGGTCCGAAGGCAGATTGGGTCACAATCAGGCAAACAGAAAACACTACGACTCACTAGAAGACTCTCACCAAGGGCTGGAATAATCTGGAACCGTTGACTGGAAGCAGGCAGGTTAAAAAGAGACTGGGGCAGGTGTCACAGAGGAGTAGATATCAGAAACTGGGCGAAGCTTGGCAGGTGAATGGAATGAACAGTCAAGTTAGTCATCAGCGCCAAGAATCATAAACGGATTTTCACTGAAGAACGGAGCCTTTTTCCTTCACAGTAACCCAACAATAAGATCTATGATGTGTTTAGTCTCACCTTTAATCAAATCTGAACTCGTCTTTCATAATTTTTCCCTAAAATCTCAACAGTTTTCACAATCTGGTCCCATTTACTAATTTGTAAACCCTTAAGTTCTTCCTCTGACGTAGAGAGTTAGTGCATTGCCTCCCCAGGTTTTCATTGCGTTTGTGCAGGTTTGGCCTTTCCTTCCTGATGCCACTAGAGGAGGAAGAGGGGCCCGTAACCACATGTTCTCTACCATATTTAAGATTAGGTTTAATGGGATTTTTCTAAATATGCATCCTTTGTTTCACGCGAACAAACTCTACTCACTCTAACAGCTAATAATTGTTTTTTTAGTGAATGGACCCTAAGATGTAACATTTGCTTCATTAGTAGGGTTTGGAGATTGTTTAAGTTACTCTTATTGTATGATAGCAAGTTAAACTCCAGATGTTTTAGCCTCCCTTCCTCTAATTCTGGTTATCAGCATTTTTAGACTGAGCTATTTTTTAAGGAAAAACTGACATCCGCTTGATTAATATGTAAGATTTTCTTTTCCATTTTGAAGAAAGAATTAACAACTCATGGATTACTAATCATGAGGTTTTTATTCAGTTTTGCTGCATTTATCATTCAGTGTGAGGATTATTTGTTATGACTCTAAGTGCTTTAATGTTAATGACTCATTTGTTAATGTGCAATCCTTTATTTTAATGGCTTTCAACTAAAGGATCTGAATATATTCTTCTACAATTTTGTTTTCAAGCACATACTTTCTTTTAATTTAACGTCAGCCTTGGATTGAAAGTCAATTCTGCGTCTTTCAAATCATGTTTATCATTGATTTCTTTAGCTTCTAGGTATTTATATATGCATTAAATGTTTCTAGAGATGAAGAGAGATGCATGATTTCCAAACATGGAAACAGCTGGGTGATTTCTGACATAATGAACCTTTAAAAACCCTAAACGTTTAAAAATGTCGAAAATTAGACACTGGGGGTCTATTAATTCAAAACGATTAAAGTTTGTCTGTTTTTTTTCCAGTTCCACAATAAGGTGACGTGTTTCATGCTGCACCAGATTGAGGAGCCCTGTTCGCTGGGGGCCCACGCTGGAGTCATCGTGCCTCCATCCTGGATCATCAAAGTCAGGAAACCACAGGTGTGAAAGCAGAGCTCCAACACCGCCACATTCCTGACTTAACAAAGTTCACCAGCTGTCATCTGGTGATGATAATGCAAAGTGACCTCAGTGGGTCTAAATTTGAGAAGCGGCCTGTCGATGGCTTGTGGAGATGACGTGATGTGATCCGACGTAGGTCGGATCTCCAGGGGAAGTTTATGTCTCTGTTTGAGCTCCCTCCTGCACGCACCAATGCAGGGAAATGTCTCCCGCAGACGAGTCGCCTGCTTCATTGCTCTTCTAATCAGCGTCAGAACGGACGTGTTGACAGTGAACTAACGGCTAAACTCTGACTCTGTGTGTCCCAGAGCTCCCTGAAGAACTCGGCCAGGAGGAAAAAACGGACGTCTTTCAAACGAAGGGCGAGCAAGAAAGGACTGGATGTGAGTGAGGAGAAGCTCCTGTCCATTCACCGGCTGTTAAATGCACCAGCAGAGACAGAGGTGGTCTTTATGAAGCCCAAAAGAGTAGTTAAGCTTGTTTTAGAAAAAGAAATCATAACTGATTTTTTTTAGTAAATTTGGAATTTAATAAATTTTATCTGTTTTATACAAATACAATTTTTTTATTTTCAGATTTATATTAAATTTCTTTTTACTTGAGGTTGAGACAAACATTTTTTTTTAGAATTTTTTTTTTCTGTTTTTAAAGTTAAACATTTCTTGGATTTAAACTTAGACTTTTTAGATAGAAGAAAAAATACTTAAAAACAGTAATAATATAACTACATTGGCACTGTTCTCAGCTCAAGTCATTCTTTCTTTGATAGAAAAAATATATAATTTGTACTTCAAGAAAGTGAGATATTTATTTTCATCTGTTATCTATAAAAATGTTTTATTTTATTTTTAAAGATTATAGATTTATGGTTCTTTTTAATTCCATGATTTTCAATCGCTTAGAAGCAGGAAAGGAGTCGTGACATGGGACGATCACTGATGATAAAAACACAGACATACTCTTTTAGTTTTTTATATGCAGATATTTATGATTATCCTTTCCTTGAATTAGATTAAAGATTAGTGGTGACACCTACAGTTTTATTAAACTCATGACAAAAAGAAGCTAAATTAAAGTACCATTATTTATCTAAATGTGCTGCCAGGAGATCTAAGCCACTGATTGAAACAAAAACACACTAGATTGAACCTTTTATCAATAAGATGTGTTTTTCTTTGAAAACTCTGGATGACCTCATATCAAAGGGGCACAGCATCCTAAACCTTCAATATATGAATTTGATCATAAGATGTATGTAAAAAAAAAAAACCTGTGTTTGAATCATTTTTCGTTCATTTATAAAATTAGAAAAAAATCTTTGTTAATTATTGTTTTCATTCTAGGTTACCTCCTGAGTCTTATGTATATTTCTGGGGAAAAAAATGTATGAAAGTATCTTTCTAATGTAATTTTTTGCAAACCATGGTCATACATTTCTTGAAAAAGCCACCTCTGATTGGCCAATCAGGCCTTATGACGACTCCCCAGCCTGCAAGCTCAAATGACTTCCAGACAGTAGTCTAGTCGTAAAAAATACATAGTTTATTTAACCTAAAGCAACTTGAACTTCACCAAGGCACCTTACAGTAGAACTGCAGTCAGTCCCTGGACTGGCATGGCTATCACTGCCCCTACATAGTTGGAGAAAAATGTAGAGGATGAATGTCTCACTGGGATCAGCTTCATAGTCATGGCAGACCACTTCTTTGATTTTATTTATTTTGCTCAGGCTACTCGTAAGCCCACAGCCTGCCAAATGTTGAAAAGGATATATTATTGCCATTGCTGCTAATATATAGTAGAAATGTTACACATTAAGTAATAAAATGGCGATGGTCATTTAAGAAGGGGGATGATTTTTAAGCTTGTTTTAAGAAGGGGGATTCCATCCCCCCTCAACTCGAGTACTGCTTCCAGAAATAAAACAAAAAAGATCCAGAGGAGGTTTGGTTGAAACTCTTTAGAATCACTTTACCACATTTTTTAAATGTTTTGTACAGAGAAATTCGGAGAGAAGAGGCGTTATTTCCACTTTAAGACCTTAAATAGTTCTGTTTCACTTTTCAAAACCTCTTAGGGATTTTTTGGAGGCTGTGGTTTTCAGTTTAGTTTTTACATCAGAAAACAGACAATTCTAAACTTCATTTTCTACTTTGAAAGAAAAACAGACAGCTGTAAAAATAAATAGACGGTTTAAAAGTTAAAATCTATTATGAAATATGAGCTATTTTATATAAACTATGTCTGATTAATTTAACATTTAAAAAATGTGAAGCTCTTATCCAACGACAGTTTATTTAAAAGTTTCTGTTTAATGAAAAAGTAAAACCTCCCTATCAGGGCCTTGGATGAGAAAAATGTTCTCATATTGGAAATCCACTTAAGACATAATTTGACCATCAATACACCACTTGAATCAGCCAGTGGAAGTTGTTAGAACTTTTAATAATTTGTTTTTGCCTCCAGCTAGTCATCTAATAACTAATTACAGTTCTGCAAATACATCAGAAGCACCAAACTTTGAGCCATTATTAAGCTATTCAGCCAGAAATTATAAGAACTTTCTTGATTTCTTTCCTAAAGCCAGATGTAGTGGATCTGCATCGTGTCGACTGGGATTTACCTCCTGCTTTCTGACTCGGCTTTAGTTTATTTTTTCACTCTTTAAAAATGTTCTTCTTCTCTGTAGGACTCAAAATGGCGTCCGTTCATCCTGAAACCCCTCCCTTCTCCTCTCATGAAACCCGTCTTGGTTTTTGTAAATCCAAAAAGCGGAGGAAACCAGGTGAGGGAACCTTACAAAAAACATTAGGCTCAGTCAAACTGACCTTATATAACCTAATTAACTAGTAAAATGAACTGTTAAATATGAGGTCATCTGTTTACCAGTTAGGTTCGTCTAAACATAATGTGTTATATTCTGTCCAATGCTCATTAAAAGTAAGTTTAGATATCATGAACTTAAAAAGAAGAGTCATACATGTATTGACCTACAGGGTGCCAAGCTGTTACAGATGTTCATGTGGATCCTAAACCCCAGGCAGGTGTTCGACCTGTCCCAAGGTGGACTTCGAGAGGCGTGAGTAATCTTGTTTTTTTAGAGCTCTAACTCTGACCTGCAGAGCTTTTTGTTCTCAGAGTTTACAGCCTTATGATCAAGAGACAGTATCTTAAAATCGGAACTCTTTGAGATATTGAAGGTTTTAAAGAGCCTGAAACAATTTAAAGTAAGGAATGTTGAGGTGAAGTGTGAAGGAACAGCTGTTAATCTGCATGTTTAAGGATGGGGGAGAAAACTCAAAATAATATGATGACATTGTCATGATTTTACTAAAGTTCAGACCCAAATGCAGAAGACCAAACAGGGAGACTAGTAGAAAAGGTTTAACAGGTTTTATTGAAGAAATAATGCAGAGAGAAGTGTTGCTCTGAACACCGCTCAACCGGAACTGAAAAGTGAGGGGAAGACACAGCGGTTAGTTCAGGCTCAGTGGGAAATTTGATTCCTGAACTTGGAGAAGAGGATCTGGTTGCCGAGTCACGTTTCCAGAGAAGTTGTTGAATCTTTGACTCCAGTCTGTATGCTGTAGTTCCAGTGTTTGTCTGATTCGGTGGAGGGCGGAACAGGGTTTACCCAGAATGTGGTTGTTTGTAGGTGGACGGAGAAGCTGACTGCCACTCAGATTTCCTGCAGTACTTGAACGGGTCTTAGTGAAGATGAATCCCTTTCTCAGTGTGAAGCTCAAACGATCTCTTGGGAAAGTGGATCCAAACCTTCTGTTTGTAACCCCCGCTCAGCTTGAAGCTCTGTTGATCCTTCCAGGGAGAGAAGGTCCGAAAAATCCAGTTTGCAGGATGACTTCCTGCCGAGAGGCAAAGACAAAAACAATGTTAAAACTCAGGTTGACAAGAACTCAGTTTGACTCAGCAAAACTCAGCTTGGGTAGAGTACCCAAAACTGGCAAACACTCTGGCGTTGAGGTAGTGGCAGTCAGCAGCTTAAGAACACTCCGTTAACGAGGAAACCATCAGCAGGTGTGTGAGGAGGCGGACCAGAACCAGGCGCCTCCTGGTGGAGGAAGGGAGACGAACACAGAAACACAAACACACAGACAGGAGCCCCCGACAGACACGCTACAGTTCAATAACTTCATGAAACTTCACACCTCTCAATTATCAGCAGGTGTATTATCATATTTTGCCATTTCATCTTTTGAGTTTTCCTTTTATTAATGTTCTTTCTGGATCCCAGGAGGTTTCCACTTTGGTATTTTTTTAAGAAAGTACATGAGTTTTAGAATTGAGTGAGGAAAATAAAATTATTTTGACATTTAAAGTGCAAAGTATGTGTGTGTATTACTTCCAAATGTTTTTCTCATTTTGATTCTAATTTTAATTCTTAGGTTGGAACTGTATCGCAAAGTGCCAAACCTGAGGATCCTGGCCTGCGGTGGAGACGGCACAGTAAGCCTCTGTTCTGCTCTTCCTCTTTTTCATCAATTCTTGTTTTGTTTTTGTTTTCTTGTTTTTTTTTTCACCACGTTCCTGGAGCTTTCTTTGCCTCTCCATAGGTGGGGTGGATTCTCTCTGCTCTCGATGAGCTGCAGATGAATCCTCAACCTCCGGTCGCTGTGCTTCCTCTGGGAACAGGAAATGACCTCGCCAGAACGCTCAACTGGGGTGGGGTGAGTTTCCATCCTTCACTTCTGTTGGAGAGTCGATGCTAAATTGGTTTATCCTCCAATTATGCGTTTCAGTTTTGCACAGCAGGTGAAAATAACCGAGCAGCAACTCAGGAAACGTCTCAAGTCATTTGTCTTTTTTTACCTCATGACCTGATTTCCATAAGCATTGAAAATAAATCAGGGTTTACTTCCTCAACACCTCTGGGAGTTGCAGGGAAACCCACATTCCAGGATGTCTGAGCGCCATTCCGGTGCATTTCAAGCCTTGACCTGTGTTTGACTTCCTCGAAGCTGTTGACACATCAAACAAAGAAGATACAGCTGATATTATACCAGTTTCCTTATAAAACCTTCTGCTATTTTTTCTTTTTGAATACCCTAAGGTTATTACACTAAAGCGTAAAATTAAGACACTTCAAATAAAATGAAAAGATCCATCAAATCAGTAGAGGTTTTATTGGATAGCTGGATTTGTTTTCCTCAACATACAGTGGTCTTCTTCTTCAACAGATTAAAATACCTGAGCCGTTGGTCTTTGCAGCTCCTCCTAAATTGACTCCAAAAATACATAAAATGTAAGATCCTACTAGTAATGTACTAAAAATATCTTTCCTAATGCAGACCTTTCAAAAAGTAGGTTTGTTTCTAAGCTGGAGGCATTTCAAACGTGAATAAGAAGTCGTACCACCGTCTCATTAGACGAATGCATACATTTTCATACCCAAACCTACTAAATAGGTCTTCATATAAATTTATGGATTAAGATTATTCTTCAGCAGTAGAGAGGAGGGTTTACAGTATGTAGCTCATCTGTGCTGTGATATAAAGCCATAACAGTGACAGTTTTATTAATAGCGTGTGAGCAGAGGGTAATTGGTTACGTTTTTTTTAATTACCGAAGAACTCGCCTCAATAAGAGCGAAGCTGTTTGATGAGCTGTTCGTCTGAGCGTGCTCGGCGCTGACGCGGCGAGGACATCCAGATGACTTTGTCAGCTCGGGAGATTTTTCCTATAGTCGGGGAGATTGATGCTTTGTGAGGAGATTAGACTGATAGACAATTCCTAGCTACCATATGTGCAACAGCCCTGTCCTTTTCATCCTCTGCATGTTTCTGTTTGCATCGCTCCTAACCGCTTCTTGCTTAATTTCCTTCATATTTTTTTTCTTTCCATCCCTTTGTTATCTGAGTCATTACTTTTATCTTTATCTTTTCTGCAGCTCAGTATTTAACTAAAGTTGTCCTTTGCTGGTCTCTGCAGTTAGTCTGTCCTTGAAGACATCAATTTGTTTGCAAAACTATTTTATGACCCTTAAGGACAATATAGTTTATCTGAAAACATTAGGATGTATAAAGTTACACCTTTATTGTAAAGTTCTACATCTATACAAAAATAATTTTGTCTCATCTTATATCTCTTCTATAAACCTACAAACTATTGTATTTTAATTTACTGTTAAACTGAGTTGGGGAATAAAGATAGCAGCTGAAATATATATGATTTTAGTATTTGGGGTTAGCTTTTTATAAGTTATTGTTAAAATAAAGTAGTTATAAATATAATAAAGTTCCTATTCTTTGATATTTGAGATCATGGAACATTTTTCTTTGTTCCAAGTGCTACAGGATATTTATCAGATGTTTGTAAAGCTTTCCTTTCTAGAGTGATTGGAAAACCTGTATCTAATATTAAATGTCAACAAATAAAATATTGTTAATGGGAAAGTTTATTGAGAGTGTGCATTATGGTTGGGGCTGCAAAAATTACATATCAGGCTGCATTTGGTTTCTGATGCTTCCAACTAACACCTTTTAGATGCCAGAAGAAATTCTGCCTGTTTTAATAAATTCTCACAGCAGTGGATGCCCACACCTCGGACAGATAATATGGCTGAGAAGCTTTAGGTCAGAGAGAGACCTGGATGCACTGAAGAAGCACAGGAGTCAGGAAATGTCAGTTGAATCGTGACTGATATCATTATGATGGTGTCTTCCTATTAGATGTTATGAGATGATTATTTGGTGTCATCCAGCCGTTGAGTTATCGAAAGGAATCTGTTTCATTGTAATTGCAGCTAGAATTTCTTGGAAAGGGCTGCCTGGCTAGTTGTAGTGGTGGTTCTGGGAGGAAACCAGTAAAGATTATGTGTTAAAGCTTCTGAATCTGTGATGCTGTGGGGATTTTTCTGTTTGAAACCCTGAGAAATGTGTTAGAAATACCAGAGTTCATGTTTCTGTTTCTGCAGTATAATGATCCAAAACCTAAAGACAAACAGAGATGGTTCCCTTGTTGCAAAACCAACCTTCTTCCACTGCTGAAGTTTTAGGCTTGAGAGTTATGTTTTCTTTACTAAGGATGTCCCTATAAATGGAGGTACATGGTTTATCCATAAGGGAAGTATGAATGTGCAGCTATTTAATGCATAAAAATTACTTTTTATTAAATGTTTTAATTAAAATCTAGATATCTCCCCCTAAGAAAGCTATTTGGATAAGAATTTAATAACAGAACATACTCTTTAATTTTTAAAGCGCTCAAAGATCAAGAAAGTTTCTGTAAAACGAGAACGCTCCTGATTTCTCCCTGTTGGCCTGTTTCTGTTCGTCTTTGGCGCAGGGTTACACAGATGAACCCGTGTCGAAGGTGTTGTGTCATGTGGAGGACGGCTCAGTGGTGCAGCTCGACAGGTGGAACCTGCTGGTGGAGAAAACATCCGTCCAGCCTGAAGAAGGCACCCAGAAGGTCAGGACTGTATTCATTTAAATGAACCCACCAGAGATCAGTTAAAGCTATCAGATACTAACCTTATGTCAGATAATACCCACTGGAATTTTCTAATAAACCTTTTCTGGTATATTATAGAAAATAATTTCTTAGCTGCAAATCTTTGCATTGGACACAAAGAGACATGAATCTTTTCCATCCTTGCAGCTTCCTCTGAATGTTTTCAACAACTACTTCAGCCTGGGCTTCGACGCTCACGTCACCCTGGAGTTCCACGAGTCCAGAGGTCTGTCCACACGTTCTCTTCTCAGCCCAGAGAACCTCTGTTAGAGGCACCTCTGCCATTTTTGATACACCTCAGCGATTATATTGGAAACCTGCACATGTTTGCGTTCACGTAAAATGCCTCTTCGTTTGCTGCGCTCATTTAAAGCACTTTGTTGTCGTCTAGAGGCCAACCCGGAGAAGTTCAACAGTCGCTTCCGCAACAAGATGTTCTATGCCGGCGTAAGTGTCCTACATGCCTCTTCACATCACTTTATGATGCTCATACCTTGCAAAAAAAACAGCCTTGGATTCCAGAATTCACATTTGTTTTCTTTACGGTGTAATTCTGCCTTAATGAATCTGCAGGAGAAGCAGGAAGTTAAACCCACTGATAAAACAAAACATCAGTTTATTCTTATAAGGTTTCTTTCATCTTTCCTCGTGTGATATTCGTTCAGTATGCTCTCTAAACAAAAAAGCCAAGTCCATTTATCTGACAGTCATTCTGTGGGGAAACTAAAAAAACCTTATGACAGGTTTTAAGGGAGACCTTTTGCTCTTAAAAAGTGGGAAACAGATCCAGAATTATCCTCTAGTTGCTTTTTTTTCTGAGAAATCAGCTGAAAGTCAGAGAGGATGGGCGGGAGTGGAAAAGGAAACATACAGAGGAGTTATCTCTTTTTAATGAGGGAAATGTAATGAACTGTAATTCTGTTTGATTGGGTTCTTCTTTCTGTTTATCTGCCTGTGTGTTTGTGTTTGTGTGTGTCTTCAGGCTGCGTTCTCAGATTTCCTCCAGAGAAGCTCCAGGGACTTGTCCAAGCACGTCAGAGTGGTGGTGAGTGTTAACACGCTCTTCCTCTCTCCGCCTGTATCGTCTTCCATGTCGACATGTCTGGCTCGGGTGATTAAACGGGCTGTCCTTCAACTTTTCTTTGACGTTGGCCGTGCGGTTTGTCCCATTAAATCCTCAGTCGCCGTTTCCAGTTGAAATAAATCTCTGGGGGCTAAAAAAAACACGTTTTAACTGAATGTTTGGTCCTGTGAGACTAATGAGGAAGCACATCGCCATTGACCCATCCATTTGGCTGCTTCGATAAATTAAACAGTGTGGTTTCCATGTTATGGAGCCCATCAAGCAGACGACCGAATTCATTAAAATTTCAGTCCAGATCAGCTCGTTTTATTCCATCCTCTGAGCCTGGTTGATGCTGAACAGGTAGAGTTTTCAGGAGATCACATGTGTGATTGATCGAGCAGTAAGGGTAAACAAGGCACAGGATTGAGTCCTAATCATAGGGCTCTTTAATTTAACCCAAAAAATAGGTAAAAGTGATAAAACTACTCAGAAAAACTAGCGACTTAATAATACTACTTCAGCGATAGTTTCAAGGTGTTGCTTTATTGTATGTCTCGTACCATGTCTTTCGGTTGTACTGTTCTTTTTTCATCTCGTTGCAGGTGATGAAGCAGACTGAAAATGTTTTGTCATTATCTCCTTTCTATCTCTTTCTTTCATCTTTTCTCTTTTTTTTCTGTTTTCCTTTCTCTTCTTCAGTTTTTCTGCTCTATTTACATTGCAGTGTCCATATAAACTGTAAAACTCGTTGCATAATTATAATAAAGCAATTTATATGCATGAAACAAGTGTGGAGTGTGGAGCAGTATGGCAATAGCCATACTGCTCCACTTGTGAAAGTAAAATCTGTTGGGCTCTTTTTGGCATCAAGACAATAATTCTTATTGCCACATTGCCAGACAGGTCACTGTTAAAAAAAAAAAAAACTAGCAAAGAAAACAAAACATTACACTAAAATATGGCTGGTCAGACCACTAATCTCAATTTATTAACAGGATCTCTGCTAGTACACGTTGCTGTGAAGTCACCATTTCTATTGTAGTTACATTACATTACAGGCGTTTTTATGCCACAACTCAGTGAAAGTGGGGAGTACCAAGATGGCGGCAGGTGACTTAAAATTCTTTCCGATATCAGCAATAAATAGAGATAAGTGGATCAGGCCACAAAAGAAAAACAAAACACACAAAAAACCTTAACCCCCGTCATCCATAATTTTGATGCTGTATGGTCAAAATAAGCTCAGCCCATTAGCCCACCTGATGATTCATTAGCCAAAGGATTGGAGCAATTGCAAAAATCAAACAAAAACAGTATAAACCAAAATTTTAGAATACACTGTAATGCCATAAATAATTTTCAAATAATAAAGTGGCTCTGTAAATAATTGAAAACAAACTGAATGATGTGTATAGTGTTACTAAATCTGTATAGCAGCAAACGCAGCCATCACAACATGCATGATGTCAAACCAATGTTCAGAGAATTTAGGGTGAAGCTATTGGGCATGGTGGAGGTGCCTCCATGTCCTTTAATGTCTTATTAAAGGTTTGTTAGGATTATTTTCAGCCATTGATGCTTCAGTTTAGACGAAAGAGTGAAAAAATAGCTCAAAATGGCCGCAGCAGCAAACAAGTGTAGGAGTACTTCTTCGTACTTCGGGGTTATGGTGGACCACTAGCCAAACAGTGAATGAGTTACGCTTGTAGCCCACATAAATAACATCATGGCAGCACTTACGCAAAATGTTTGATTGACAACCAAGTAGCCAATCCACTTTCAACAGTAGCCAAGTGGATTGGTTAATAAGTGCAAGAATGCCATCTATCAATTAATTCATTTTAGATGAATCTGGAGACTTAATCCTGAGTGTTTCAGGATTCAAAGCAGATCGACATCAGCACTTTCTGTTTTGTCTAAGGGTGACGGATCAGGCTGGATGTGTGAAACTTATCCCTCTCAGGCTCAAATTAAGCTGTAGTTGCAGGGAAAATCAGATATTTGGAGAAAATGATCATATGGGGTAGTAATATACAATTCAGATTTTTTTTTTTTAGACAGACCTTCACATGCAATGAATTCTGGGATGTTACAGATTTGCAACAGTGGTAAATTAACACTGAAGACTGAATCTGATATTAACGTAAACTTTATTTGAATGTCACAAACAAAAAATTACCAAAACAAAATTTGAAAAAAAAAAAATTCTTAAGTTTTTCTTAAACTTTTTCTCCACCGACATCTGAAAACCTCTTGAGAAGGCCGTTTCTGTTAAACTGTTGCTCAAAGTATAGGCAAACTAGTAGATAAAGCCTGTAGCATCCATTTGTACCTATTTGGGCACACGTTGCGAATCCACAACATTGAAATTGAGATGCCTCTGGTGAAAAACCCAGAGGAGATAAAATCTACTAATTGGCATGAGTCATATCTATACACATTCATGATTCATCTTATGTAGTATTGATTTCAAAATAATGGAAATTGGTAGTGATACTTACATGAAATTGGTGCTTAGAAAATCTGTTTCAGTGACACCAAGGACTCAGCCATGTTGAAAGTGATTCAGCAGTGCTATCTAGTGAGCTGGAGAGAAACTGTTTGTTGCAAATGCACAACTAAGTCCTTCTGTTGAACTTCTGAGTAACAAAAGCTCTTAAAATATGGATGTGGAGTAATTAGCTAAGTAGGATTTAGCTGTTGCAAATCTGCAACATCTGCCTGAAAAGGGCTAAAAGTAAACCTTACACAAAAAAACAACATCATGGTGGTGGCTTAAGCATACTGTGGGCTGTTCAGATGCAACTTTCAAGACATTCTTCGGCTGTAACAACACAGCTGAACTACAGTGACATGTTTAATGATGAAAATAAATCTCAGCTCCCAATGGGAACCAATCCTGGTTTTTAAAAGCTTGGAACAAAAGCAAAATAACTCTCAAATAAATCTTTACAGCCCATTAATTGGAATCGCCTTCTGACTGCAGCTGTATTTAACATCTTATTTTAACTGCTGTCAATGCATCCCTTCAGACCTAAAGGGAGTAAAAGCTGCAGCTTAGAAATCTGTGCTGGAACAAATGCTATAACAGTATAATTATCTCTCACGGTGAGTTGAATTAGAAATATTTTAGTGCAGCAATTACTCTCTGGTGTTTAGGAACCCCTGCTGCACAGATCTTTGTGTGATCTGACAGGAGGAACCGGGAGCCGAGCTTGATGTTTAAGCAGCCTGTCAAAGTAAATGGCAGGTCCAGAAATGTAAAACAAACTCTGCTTCTGACTTAACATCACTCAGCTCTACAGCGTGGACTCTTGCTCTCTGTTTTCTACAGTGTGACGGAACGGACCTGACCCCAAAGATCCAGGAGCTGAAGTTTCAGTGCATCGTGTTCTTAAACATTCCCAGGTAGGTCAGGAACAAATACAAATCAAGAATGTTTATGATTTAAAATTTTCTATGGCGCATGGCTTTAGAATTTACATCTACGCCCAAATGTAGCTTAGATTATGTTTTTGTTTTGGATTATTACCACACAGCATCTCACTGTTACATATTAATGATAATGTAAAACGAATAAAACACATAGAAATTTAATAATATGTGATTATTAAAAAATAAAAGGTTGCTTCATTCTACTTCTGTAGTATTGGTTAAAAACAATTTTTTTGTAAAATAAAAGTTGAATTATGTGATCATTTAAATAAACAAAATCAACTAATCAGCAGCTAATAAATAAAATAATGGGCCAGGAATCAAAAATAAATCCATAACTGCTGCAACAAGGGATTATAAAGTAAATAAATGAATAAATACTTTACTTTATTTTGTATACTAACATTTCAGAAATATACTTTTTATTATTTTTGTATTGTTTTGCATTATTTTTGTATTTATTAGAACATTAAACTAATAAATACATGTGTTTTTATTTAACGTTTGCATTATACAAATCTTATCATTTGATGTTTAGGCTATACTTATGTGTTGAATAAAGATTTTAATGCAGCTTTAACAGAAAATCATTTGTTTTTAGTAAATTGCTTTTAGTTTTGTTATCTAATGTATTTATCTGTAGTTTAAATTATTAAGCTTTAAGAAATGTTTAGTTAATATATGAAACTTTTGTCGATGGGAACCGTTGACCTGGACGCATCTTGAAATGATGGCATATTAAAAAATGTTTCATGTTTTTTTTTTTATTAATAACATATACACCAAGAGTTCAAAGGTTATTCATTTCTCTTCAATTAAGTTTATTTAAGTGGCACCAATTTACAGCACATGTCATCTCAAGGCACTTTACGGAAAAAAATACTGTCAGAATGGTTAGAAAAACCAGTTGATTGCATCGACTCACTGACTCGTCAGCAATCCCTCACACCAAGCATGCTTTTAGCGACAGTGGAGAGGAAAAACTCCCTTTTAACAGGAAGAACCCTCCAGCAGAACCAGGCTCAGTGTGAGCGGCCATCTGCTGAGGCCGACTGGTGTTCAAGGAGACAGAAGCAGATATAGAAAAAGAAGCATAGATACAAAAGGTAGCTGTCAACCAGCTACACAGGCGGCCCCGTCCAGGAAACACACAGCCAGGCAGACGAGCTCCAAGCCAGAGATTACATGGTTAAAACTTTCTAAATTCGTTTTCCTCCACTTGATTGCAGAGACCTCTTTAAACAAAATGATGAAGCACTTTAAATCACGATGAAGTGGGCTCTGCTAATTGGGTTCAGAGCTTTGACTTCTTCTGTTATTGTTGGAGAGGATTCTTGTTCTCAGAAGAAGGCAGATGGGCATCCACTCTGACGGCTTTATTACTGAGGATACATGAAGTACCTTCTGATAGGCTGGTAATACATCTGCTCCGGTTTGATGTTTTTAAATGTCGGGGGTGTGCAGGTACTGTGCTGGCACCATGCCGTGGGGAAACACCGGTGACCATCGAGACTTTGAACCACAGCGCCATGATGACGGCTGCATTGAGGTTATCGGATTTACGATGGCGTCACTGGTAAGGAAAACAGAGACACAGCTGCATATTTAAAAAAGCTGATTGAGATAAACACTCGATTTTTATTGAGCCATCAGCATGCAGATTACATCTTTTTTTCGTCGACTAGGCGGCGCTACAGGTTGGCGGTCACGGTGAGCGGCTTCACCAGTGCAGAGAAGTCGTCCTCACCACCTACAAGACTGTCCCTGTTCAGGTAAAACCAGCAGACAGCCTCTGAATAAGGGATGGATGAGGGTACATCTGATGTCTGAGGTGGACTAATAGGTGTGATGAAGATACTTTGCTTCATCTGAGATACAGTCTGTTTATCAAAGGATTGAAGAACAAAGTCTGTTAAGTTTGGTGATCTTAGGAGCAGCAGTGGATGCTTACGTTTTCCAAGAATAAAAAGAGAAGTTGCTGCACATGTACTGTGCTTTATGACAATATGAATTAAATGATAAACTGGAAATCTGCTGCTGACATCTAATCTTTTCAGATAATCTATAACAGATGAGGTCTGTTGAAATTTTTAACCATTTAGAGTCCAGTAGGTTTTATTTATTTGACCATTAGCCTCAGAAGTCTCACATGTGGCTCCTTTTCTTAAAGGAAGAGGAGCCACATGTGTTTTTTTTAGGACCGTTTTTCTAAAACCTTCCTATGTATGTAAATTTATTGCATAACGAATCTCCATTTACTTTTTTTTTGTATAATTGTAACACAAACCTATTTAATAAACTCTACATGTTGCATAATTATTAATTGAATATAGCTTTTTTATTTAAAGTCAGATTTATGTATTCGGAATTATTAAATTATCCATATTCAAAATTAATACTAATTAGTGTATTGATTTCAAATACATAAAGTTTATTTAAATGACTTAATATTTACAGTTACGTTTATGAAATTTAATCAATAAACTTTGTGTTTTATTATCACCAAATACATAAACCTGATTATTAAGTATTTCAAATGAATAAGTTGCTCTATTATGCAAATAAATTAAGATCTATTATGCAAATGAATATGGATCATCTAAAGTTTACATGATAAGTTTGTGTTAAAATCATCTAAAAGAAAAGTAAACAGGAATTATGTCATAAATGTACATAAATCTCAAACATTGGGTGATATATATCTGTCAGTGCACGGACTGCTCCAGATTCACACAGAAAATTGTGTTAGCATTCAGAATGAACACTTTTGTAGCTTCTATTCCTCCTTCTCGCTCCTTTCTTCTCTCTATTTAGCTGAAAACTATTGTCAACAACACCCCACTGTTGTCTTTGAGCTGCAACATTTATTTATTTACCTATTTAATCAGGACAGAGCACATTAATGAACAATCTTATACTTCTATACAGATTGTAAATAAGCCAGATTATAGCATAGTTGCTAATTTACATCTGTCGTCCTGAGGCAGGAAGACAAATCAACACAAGATCACATAATACAATATCAGTCAAAACACATAGACACGCGTTCAGACAATGACATTACAAGAATAAAATTAGTGAGTGCATGACTGGGAACCTTTAAGAAACTGGTAAGGTGCTTTTTAAATGTGCAATAAGTGGGACATTCCCTGATGTTTGTTAGGAGGCTGTTCCAGAAGTGACCCCCTCTGACTGATAGAACGGTTTGTCCAAAGGTTGTTTGAAACATATCAGGCATTAAAATATACTGTAGAAATCAAAAGTAGTTAGAGTCCAACCAGCTGCACAAATGTGATGCTGGCAGGAAGTTACTTTATATGCAATATTTGAGCAGAACAATAAGAGCTTAATTGCAATATTGCCCTCGGATATTATGGTGACGATTGTAATTCATATACTGTAATTTAAATATTCTGGAGGATTTTAAAGCAGAAGAACTTGAAGGCAAACTAATAATGTTTCTGCGTTCTCTGTCTGTCTTTCTTTTCTTCCCTCTGTGTCTGCAGGTTGACGGTGAGCCGTGCAGACTGGCTCCATCCACTCTGCGCATCTCTCTGCGAAACCAGGCCAACATGGTCCAGAAGAGCAAGAGACGCACCTCTGTGCCCCTACTCAACGAGTGAGTCACTCACTCACTCACACACACACAGATACAGATGGATGAACTAGTCCAGCCCTGTGAGTCACTCAATCTGTTTAGTGAGCTGACATTGACTCCTCTCAACGTCTCTCTTCAGATCTCCAGATTTGTCCTCAATCAAAGGGACATGAGCTTTAATAAATCAGATCTTCACATGTCTGGTGTTGTCTTTTACAGCTGAGGAGACATTTGTTGGTTTATTTCCAGGATGAAGGGCTGTGTTTAACACCCTCATCCCTTTAGCAGCTCTGTCTCTATTTAGTTTATAAATGTGAGTCTATTCTCTGCTTTTTGAAAGTCTGTATGTGCTAGAAACAACAACGCAGACTAGCTTCTTGTAGTATTTAGTGCTATTGAACTGTGCTATCAATGTTTGTCGACTTACCTTTTGGGATTTTTTTCCATCTTTCCCTCCTCCGTTCCATCCTTCTCTTTTTTTCTCCATCCTTCCAACACACTTAACCACTTTTTTTCTTTTCCTTTTCCCTTTGTCTTCTCTCTTCACCGCCATTCGTCTGTCCTTTCTCCCGCGTTTGTGGTGTTTGTGTGCGTGTGTGCGGCCGTAGTATTCAGAAGGTGTGTGCAGCTGATCTGCGCCGCCTCTCTGCTCCCCCCGACTCCTTCTCTGTGTAAGTACCTCTAACCCCTGTTCTGTCGCTGGACGCTCCTGTGTCTCTGTGCACGTCGGAGCAAATGAAACGATGGCGTCATGTTTTATCTGTCAGGTTTGATCTATATTTGAAATCACCTCAGCCTTTTCAGCTGTACTATTTTGTGCAAAAGTCTTAAATCACCCAAAACGTCACACTTTGTTTTGCTAGTTACACGTTTTTTTTTTTTTTATAAATTATACTGATGATGTTAAGATGCAGAACAAAAACAAAATTCAAGTTTCTGAAATTAGGATTAACTTTCACCTGCAATCGAATCTTGAACAAGGGGATGAAACTAAATTAGGACTAGGACTATAATCTCTTCTAAACACTGATGATTTTATTTTTTGAGTCTGAACAGCAAAACCAAGGAACAGATTTCTATTAAAAGCTGATTAGGAGCATTTATTTGAGGAAATAAACTGTTTTAAAAGAGCCACAAATCGTTTTTTTGAACCTAAGTCACCTCAAATAATGCAGCTTGGTGGGAAAAAAAAGCAGAACTTTTTCAGTCATTTAAAGAAAACCTTAAAGTAGAAGATCAACTGAACCCCTGTGTGTTTTCTGAATTATATTTCATATTCCTCAGACCAAAGAGCCCACAGTCAGGTGAAATATCTCCATTTCACCTTTCAGATTTTATGCATTCTCAACACAACCTGGGAAATCTCAGGCTCCATTGTTTTCTCGATGCAAAAACCAAGCAGATTCTGGGTGATTGGTCTGTTTTGGATTCATTAAAAGAGACTTAAGCTGTTTAGTCATCAGGATAAAAAAAGATTCAGGATAAAAAAAAATGTAGCAATGATGCACTAGGCCAAACTTAACACAGAAATACTGAAACTATAGAATATGATATTACTCACGTGTTTTTCTATAAAATAATCTGTTTTCCAAATATAAGAAAACTTGAAAACCTTATATAAATCCACTAAAAATATATATTTTTTGCAATGATTCCAATTCATAAAAAATGCTGCTTGTGTTTTTATGTATTTGCCCAAAACATGTAAGAATAACCCTCAATAAAAAGCGGAATAACCCTTAATAAAACCCTTAATAAAAAGCTGACTAATGAGGTGTCAAAACTTTCTACCATTTCACTGTTCTCATCTTATATACATTTAAACTGCATTTTTATTTGTCTTATTAAAGGATTTTATTTCTCTTTCTAAAAGGATCAAAATGTTTTAAGACTAGAGAAATACTTTGTAATGAAAAGGGAAACATTTAGCTTTAGAGTTCCTAAAAACTCAGATATTTAAATCAGGATTTATTATCCGAGCAACAAACGTCTGATAGGAAGGTTTGCATTGAAAAAAATGATCTAGAAATAAGTAAAAAATTATTAAAATATGTGTATTTACTCTTAATTTGAGAAGGTAAATAAGGTAGTTTGCCAATGGAATGAGTATTTTTACTCTTAAAATAAGATAATTAGATAAAATGCACTTGAAATAAGACAATGCAATTGTATTTTCATGTTTTAAGGGTAAATTGTCTGGTTCCATTGGCAAAATGTCTCGTTTACCTCCTTAATCCAAGAACAAATGCACTTATTTTAAGAAAAAAATTACTTATGGTATCTAGATTTCGATTTTTTTCCAGTGTGCACATTTTAAAAGAAAGGCTATTTCTTGTTTCAAATATGGGTCATTCTCTGCTGTGCTGTGTTGCCTGTAAGTGTTTGTTGTGTCCAGTTAATGTGGTTTATGTGAGGAGGTGTATGGCGCATGCTGACGTCTTCTCAGTCTGCTTCTGCCTCATGTCTTTTTCTGCTGTCGTCCCTTTAACTTTACTGTGAGCTCTGCTTTTGTTATATCTCCCCTAAATGTGATGTCTGTGCCCTATAAATCATTTAATATCAGAGAGAAACAAAGGTTGGGTTATTTTCTTCTTTTTAAAGGTAAGCTGAGGTGCTGTGGTTAGTTTCCGATGTTTTTGTTTTCATTCCTGCATCTTTTGAAGCATCTGGCTCTGTTTTACCTAAAGAAGTTTTGGGCTACTCAGATTAATGCTGCAGAAGAACATCAGAGCTCAGATCTGGTTTTGTTTCCAAAAGGCTTAATGGCCTTCAGTTTGTTAGTGAGTGTTTAGTTAAAACATTTTAAGGCCCTGAATAAGAGTAAAACCAAATAGCAGGAATTAAATGTTGCAAAACGTGTCGCTGAAGTTCAGATTTAGTCGTGAAACGTGGGTCTACAGGTGTCCGTGTGTGCATGTGTGCATATATACAAACCAGAGTTTTCAAACCCCTGGAATTTATGTTACAACCACCAACTTCATAGTGTTTTATTGGAATTTTAGGAACACAAAGTAGATGCGAAGAGGAAGGGAGATGATCCATGATTTTCAATGTTTTTTTTACAAGAAATAATCTGAAAAATGTGGCGTGCATTTTTCTTCCTATTCATCCAAAAGGTCACAGTCCAGTAATATGGGCTGTTGAGTCCGTTGTTTTCCTCTGAAGACCAGGAAGCACAGTACAGAGCTCAGAGAGAGATAGGAAGACATCTAAAGCAGGATTTAGCCTCAAAGCTTTGAACGCCTCTCAGAACGCTGTTTAAAACATCCCTGAAAGGAACGTTCTGTAGAAGACATATTGAAGGCAGCAATCAGATCAAATTTGCACAAAATTCTAAAGTTTCACCCTCCTGAAAAGCACGCTGTTACAGCAGGGATCTAACAAACTGGATTTCTAAAATAAGCAAAGGATTTAGACCATTGAATTATCCTTTTTTTACTTGGTTGCATCAAATCTTTGCTTTTTGTTCATCTTATTTGTCGTATTTGGTTTAGAGACACTAAAGAATAATAATTCAAGCTTCACAAACTACAATTATTAGAGATTTTTTTAACCTCTAGACCCTTTTTTTCAGGTTTAACAGGACCAAAGGTTTCTCACCTTGGTTCTAGTTGGGTTTATGTAAAAGCATTTATTTCTTAGATATTACAATTTAGAAACAACTCTAAGACCTGCTTAGGTAGTCAAAGTATGTTTGCAGCCATCTTTATTTCATAAGCTGCACAAAAACTCATGATCCTACTGCATGAATAGCTTGTTCATAAATGTCCAAGATGAGATTGAAGCTGACAAACAATCCAGGAGTCTGCAAATATCTGAAATACTAAAAAGAAACCAAGTAATAGAAAAGTAACCGTGCAAACTACGAACCATAAACGTGTCTGATGATGTAAAACATTTGAATGGGGAAAAAATGCAAAATTACTGCACTTTGTGTTCACCACAATTAAGATTTCCTTATATTTTAATTTAAGTAATAGAGGTAAAAGAAAAATGAAACGATTTTCTCTTCTTCTCAAACTGAATCAATTAGTTGAAGTTTTTGGTTGCAACGTAACAAAATCAGAAAATGTTCTGGGGGTGTGAACACTTTTGTAAGAGACTGTCCTTACCTGTGTGTGCTGGAGCATGTCTGATCCGTGGGCGTGCACGTACATGCACTGGCCTGTTCTTCCCTTGCAGTCCTCACGCGGTTCCAGATCGTTTGCGTCTCCGAGTCAATCGGATCAGCCTGCAGGAATACGACCGGCTGCAGTACGACAAGGAGCGGCTGCGAGACATCTGTAAGGCTCTCTGTTTCCTGATTATTAGGATGTCAATATAACTTTATAAAAACCTTTTGCCATTAAGAGGAAATATGTATTTACTCAATATATGTGTGTCTCCCAGCTATCCCAGTTGGCATTGTGGTTGTTAGGGGCGACTGTGACCTGGAGACCTGCAGACTTTACATCGACAGATTGCAAGAGGCAAGTTTTTATCTTTGTCATCACCATCTGCACATCGCCGCTCTGATTTCTCTCTTCTGTCACTTGCTCTTCATTCTTATTGCATGATCCTAGTTATTTATAACCGGGTTGGTGATCTCAGAGCCGCTTATTAAGCTGTTTGTTTCATTTGGCAAAAGCTTCTTTGACTTTAACGTGTGCAAGTTTGTGTTTTTCCTCCATTCCAATTTCTTCGGCTGCTTGTTAACCTTCAAACCTGTCTGCTGTGCCTGATAGGATTTACACCAGGCGCCATCTACTGGCCACAGAGTGCACTACCAGGTACATGACTTGGAAAGGGACAGGATTAGGGAACGTTTTTAGCAGATTTGGACTTTGGTCACAGATTTATTTGGACTAAAGGCTCAAATGACTGTGATTTGGATAATGTACATCCATAACGAGGGATTAGATCTTGGTGCCTGAGATGCTGCACTGTAGATGAATACAGAGTTTCTGATCCGTCTGAAAAAGATTAGATTAATTATTTTTACAGATCTGGATAAGTATGGACAAAGAAAACCAGAGTGACTTGTATTTACAGATTTTATTCCCTGTTCTATCGTCTAAATAATGTGACCTTTCATCCTTTTCGTTTTATTGTCTCATTAATTCATTCCTTTCTTCCTTATGTCCCTCCATCTGCTCTCGTATTCTTCCTTGTTTCTTCCCTTTTAGTGCTGCCTTCCTCCCTTACATGTACCCTTTCCCTTAATGTCTCCTTTCCATCATTGGGGCCTTTGTTGTGATCTATGTTTGTTTCTTTTTTGGCTTCCTTGTTCCCTTCCTTCCTTCCTTCTTTTTTTTTTCTTCCAACTTCTTGTGTTTCATATATTTCAAAATGAAGGTGAAGGACTGGTTGAACTTTAAAGCTGAGACTGAGAATATTTTGCATTTTTTACATGACAAATCTGTGAATCCAGTATAAATCAGTGTGTGTGAATGGGTGAATGACTGAAAGTAGTGTAAACCACTTTGATTAAGTCTTCTGGCTTGAAACAGCGCTATATAAGTACAGGCCATTTACCATAAAGTTTTACTGTTTAAGTCCTTAATAATATTTTTATTAAAATATTTCAGTTTACTAATATTTTTTTCTTTAACCTGCAGGATGAAAACAGAAGTGTCTCATTAACAGGTTCAACCAGTAGACTGTCTCCTAACTGGAGCTTCCTGGATTGTGAGTTTCTCCACTAATTTACATGAAACAATAAATAATAGAAACTAATAATTGAAACAATAAATAAAGATCTAGTTAAGTCATGGAACAATAAAGAAGTAACATATGAAAAATAATCTAATCTCAAATGTGAAGCATAGCAGAGGACCTGTGTTGCAATGGACCTGTTTTGAATTGAGTCACTAACTCTGGAACTTTAAATTTAATCCTTGTTTTTCTCAGGTATAAGTTAAACGTAACACAGAGGCCTGTTTCTGTCATCAATGTATCCGAATGTCCGCCCTAATCACTATATAGTGGTTTCGTCATTTTAGATCAGTGTCCAAACATCTAATGGATGAAAAAGAAGTGGACTTGAAATTTCCCACAATGCACCTTGAAAAGTAGTGATCATCCATGGTCCTTCAACCAGCAGATATATCCCAGAATGCTTTGCACAGAAAGCTCTCTACGCAAAGCATTATGGGATTTGTTGTCACAGCCACGAAATTTAACAAAGATGGCGCAGGGATGTGGAATCACGTGACCAACGGGGAGCTTAAAGTAGTGCTCTTCTGTCCGTATGGTCAGTTAACTGAGTTCACTATATAGTCCCTGCTATGTATGGCAGATTGAGGGATTTAGGGGTTAGGGCGGGCGATCGGACACAGCCCATGTTTCAAAATGTATTAATTTTGCTGCAGCACTAAATCGTTATCATTAGAGACGACTTTATTTGTGGATGATGCTATAAGTAATAAGTTAAAACCTACTTTATGTGGGTCTTTATATAATTTACAGAAAGAAAATAAACTAGACCTATAAGTGAAATCTAGCTTTATTCCTTTAGGTTTTAATGATATCTTTATCCATATCTTCTCATTTCAGCGACATCAGCTGACCGCTTCTATCGAATAGATAAGGCTCAGGTAAATGAGGACAGTCAGACTTCCCTCAGCCTGATGCATCCAGCTTCAGTTTTCTTATATCTCATTTTGTTTTCTGCAGGAGCATCTTCACTTTGTGACAGAAATATGTCAGGATGAGGTCTTCATCCTGGACCACGAGGGTCCGTTAGTGAGCCAGGGGTCATCAGCTGGGATGCCTGATCTGGTGGTGGAGCCTGCTACTGGGTAAGGAAGGAAGTTTTACAATGGAAAGAAGATTAGAAACAATATGAATCTCACCCAATGGAAGCTTTTAGTAGACTTATGATTTCAAAGCAGCGTTTTCATAATTAAGCTGTAAACAAGAACTCTGTTTGGTATTTTAATGCATGATTCAGTAATTAAAACCTGAACAACAGTTTTACAGAAGGAGGGGTGTAAAAATAGGTGCATTTACCCATATACACCACTAGATGTCACTAGATGACCTATTGATGTTGGTACTCTGAATAATCCAAGAACAGTGCAGAGAAGAGCGCCACGAAAGTCCCTCAAATTTGTAATTTATTTAATGAAGTGCTATTAAATTCACTTTTTTTAGGCTTAGGTGTCTGATCCACTCATAGGTTTAGCCCTGAGGGGAGAGCGTAAACTGAAGGTATTACTGTAGATTTAGCTATTAAAGTAAGTCCACAGGTGTGTTTAACAAACTTTACAAACTGTATTGGCAAAAATACAGACGATCAGGTCAAAATATATAACACTGTTTAAACATCTCTACATCAGTCGGGGTTGTTAATGTAAAAAAGCTTGAAATTAGAGTAGAAATGAAAACTTGCCTTATGTTTTGAGGTAAAAAAAGAATAAAAAAAGATTGAAACACTTGTCCAAATTAATCAACTTCTGGTGTTATGGTATTTACTGTAAAAGTTGCATCATCTTGTGGATCTCAATAGGGATGTTTTTATGGTGTAGCAGTCTAAGTCTGCATCTGTGATACCGGAGATCCGTTTTGAATACATTTAACATTTGAGCTCCTAGATCTGGAAATAATAAAATCTAAACTTTTCCATAAGTTTTAGATCGTGATGATTTTAAATAAAAACACAAAATAAGGGTGCATCGATTGCAGGTTTCTGGGTAATTACCGATTAAAAACCCTTACATGGCGATTCTGATTTTGATTTTATCAATTGCGATTAGATCACAAGAACAACAATATCTAAATCTTCATCACACCTGAAACAATACAAACCTCTCAAATAACTGCTTATAAATATAAATCCAGGTTTGTAGCAATGACAGTGAGGGATTTTCAGATCTTTGCAGAAGTTGATAAGATCAGGATCACATCTAAATATCAACTTCCAACATTAAGGATATGCATGTCGATCAACCGGCCAGCTGATCTATCCTTGCACCCCCAGTTTTCAGACTCAATCAGTCCATTCATCCGTGTAACAGTTTAAAGTCCAACTACTGCAGAAATGTCCCCAATAGGTTCAGGGTTACTTTCTGTGTTATGCTTGAAAAAAAGAAAAGAATATTTGAGAAATATACTAGATATTTGTTTTATTTTTCAGGAATCTTAATATTAAATGTTTTTTCTATGTGTTATGGTTATTATAAATGGTTATAGTTTATTATTATAGACACAAACATGTGGTGCCCTGTATTCCACGCTTTATTCTTTAGAAGGATAATTTTGTGTTCTCAGTTAGAGCTTAATCATTATTGGGCCATCAAAATAATCCTCTAAAGAGGCCCGGGATCCAAAGCTCCGTCTTGGTCCGGTGTTTTTCTTTCTGATCTTTCAATTATTCTTAAGTCTGTCCTCATTTTAAAGCCAGTTTATTAACATGGTGCCAACATCCCACCTCTTTTTGGCATCAGGTTGATTTGGACATTTGCTGAGTGTCTCCCTTCATGGTTTCTCTGAGCATGCCACATTAGATAGAGACCTGTAATGATCTCAGGAAGTTGGACCCAGGATTCGAGGCGAGACAGGCAGTGGGAAAGTTCAAAGCGTGAGAGAATACAGGTCAGTAACTGGATGTGGAGCTGAATACGAATTGGAGCCAAGTCACTGACCTGATTCAAAGTTCAGTCCGTTCGCGGAGAACACAGTTGAATCCAGGAGGGAAGTGAGACCACAGTTGCCACGGGCGACGCCCCGAGAGTTCCTAGAGAGCGAGCAGAGCGGACACCTGCCGACGCCGAGTAGCAACCAAGTCCAGAAGGGAAATCCAAGGCCGAAGTCAGAAGACAGTTATAGGTTCAGAAGCCGGTAGAATCCAGGATCAGAAAGACAAACAGAGCAGACAGGGGCAAGGCAAAACTCGAGATCCTAAGGGCAGAAACTGGTCAAGATGAGGAAAAAAGAACAGACTAAAGATTGCTAGGAAATGTCTCACAAAAACACTGGAATAACCTGGCGCTGATGGGAGGCAAACACACAACCTATATAGTAGAGAAACCAGGTGGAAATGATCACCGATAATCAGAACCAATTAGACAGGGAAGCAAGGAGCAAAGGAAAAAAACAAAACATCAGCGCCAAGATCATAACAGAAACCCTGAATTTGCTGGAGTGTCAAATAGGATTAAACACATGGTTGTCATGGTGATGGAATAACAACCACTCTGGAATGATCGTCTCTTCCTGCTTGGCAAAGTGTCATAAAACTGTCTTTTTCCTCTCTCTCTCTCTTCACAGAGCTCCCCTGACATCTGAAGAACAAGGTAACCAATCAGAGATTCCTCTGATTTAAACAGGTTGAATCCAGTTCAGAATAGCATAGAGAAAAGTTTTGTTGAAATGCTTAAGCTTCTGATGAGTAAAGAGCATTTCGTTGGAAAGTCCTGGTTTAGACTATGATAGCATAAGTTACACAGCAGCCATCATAGCTTCATAGTTTAATACATCAGTGCCTAATGTAAGGAGTCACAATCTGGGTTATTGATATTGGGAAAAACACAATCACTACCTTTCAAGAAAATGAGATGAAAAACACAATATATAACTTTATCATCTAAATAAGGGTAACTTATTTACTATGGAAGAGGATTAGGGCTACTGAAAAAAAAAAAGTTAAGTGATTTTTAAATTTTATTTCAGTTTAATATGGGAAAAAAGTCAGAATTCTGACTTTTTTTCTCAGAATTCTGACTTTAATTTTTTCTCAGAATTCTGACTTTTTTTCTCAGAATTCTGACTTTTTTTCTCAGAATTCTGACTTTAATCTCAAAATTCTGACTTTTTTCTCAGAATTCTGACAGCTAACAAACATGTTAGCATCAAGCCGTAGCCATGTCTGTTTTAGAGACTAGCTCTGTTGTTTTAATGACCTTCTGCTCCTCCATTAATGAGGGGACCCCTCGGGCACGTAAAAAGTTGCCTAATTCTGCATTAAGATCCAAAATTCTGAGATTAAAGTCAGAATTCAGACTTTTCTCCCATGTTAAACTGAAATAAAATTTTAAAATCAGTTAACTTTTTTTTTTTTTTTCCAGTAGCCCTAATCCTCTTCCATACATATCTATGTATAAAAAATAGGATTAATAAAAATGCACCCAAATGTACAGTAGTAAACAGATTTATCACAAGCTAAAGTTGAACTTTATTTATTTTTCATCAACTCATCATATGCAGATGACTGATAGCCTTAAGCCGTAATCCCGATTCAACTAATGGAACAGAATGATTTAAGGTTCTGGAACGATCATGATGACTATACCTCAAACCAGAATCCAAGCATTGCCCTTTTATAATAAAAAATATCTCATTCTGCACCTATTCTACCTGTGGCACTGTGGAAGTACCTGGGTAAAGTCCTCTGACATGTCTGGGCTTGTCAGGATTTAAAAGAGGAAAATAATGGGGCAAAGTTGAAATGTTTACAGTCAGGAATTCCCTGAACAATTTAGCCTTCCAAACAACGCCGCTAACCTTCTTTTTCTGTCACTTTCAGTTTCACTTCATAAAGATTGTTGAGTATATTTGCACAAAAGTAGTCGGTCCCTTTACCATCCGAGGGGTAACTTGAATTTTATTATACAATTATCAGCATGCAAAGGATGTGATTGTGTAACATCTGTAAAACAAGGCCAGTTTGTTAATTTGATTAAAGAAAAATGTTCCTCTTCTAGAAAAACATGCTTATCAGTGCAAGAAGCAAACAATGGGAGGTTGATTTATAAGATTGGAAGACAAAAGGGTTAGATCTGTTAGACCTTTTTAAACCGGGAGTAAGAGAAGCCTAAAGATGTCTAGAGCGTCTTTAGATTCTGCCAGATTCTTTGTTTGTACATGCAAATGTTTTTTTCTATGTGCAGTGATATCTCTGTATGTGTTTTGTTGCAGCTCTTCTCACTGCTGCCTCTACTGGGGATCTTTTACTGGTATGTTGGGGAAAAAAAGCAACACTGATGTCAATAGATTTACAGGAAATCTAACCAGTTTAGCCTGTTTGTGTATTCCATTTTGATATTTATCTCTTCGCTGAATAAGTTAAACTACCAGAGCGAATCATCTCCTAATTACAGTCAGCTGACTCATTTCGTTGGTTTTTGGGTGTTTCTGGCTTAGTAATTCACAGATCTATTCACCTTCTCATAACACAAAAATTCTCAGCCAGTTAACAATAGATGACATCCAAAGAGCGGATGATGCCCAGACCATTGAAATTTGAGCGGGGGATGCTATCCAGACACATAAGTTCCTAAATGTTAGGGTGCCACTGTTTTTTTGAGAGCTGTAGTATCATGGAGCGACGATAGGAGGAGAGGAACTGTGCTAGCGTGGCGTGTAAATGGGGAAATTGAGTCAATCATTTAAATTTCCTTATTTAGTCATTAAAAGCAAGTCTGACTGCCTCATTGTTCTGAATAATACATTTTATTCATTACATAAACTTTTTTTATAACTTTATAATCTAAAGTGGACTATGAATTATTGTTTTATAGAAACAGAGGCCATGGATACAGAAATCAAGACAACTTTAGTCTAAATGTAAATGATTTATAGAAATGAGCAGTTCTCTACAGCTCTGGGGTCTTATTTATAAAACATTTCATAAGATCATACTAAAATCCTGATTTATGAAATGCAGCACATGACAACAAACAATTTTTCTTTATAGAAGACAGCTGTACCTCAGAGTTTGCTTCATGTTCAGTCCTCCACACTTACATATTCAACCATAAGTGGAGCAAGCAAAGCACCATGCCGTTGGTTTCAATGACGCCTTCAGAGTCGGGGTGTAAATCACATCCATTATAGCGATTCGATTCAGTATCGATTTCCTGACACAATGATTCGATTATTTTCGATACCCAAGAATACAACACAATTCAATTCGATTAATTATTGTTTTTTTTACGTTACAGGCTGGACAATTTTTTCTAATTCTAAATAAATCAATGAAAGCTGTATTAATGTTATGAATTTTATTTGAGAAAATACAGCAAACAAAAGAAGTAGCAAAGTTGTACTTCACCTAGGCCTATGAAACTCATGCACTGAAAAATAATAATGCCCCTGTTTTATAGATTCTGAAAGCATCAAAAAATACTGCAACGCATAAGTGCACCAGCAGATTAAGTAACAAAAATAGGCCTATACTACACCGCAGCACGGGTGTCACAGTTACATCATAAATGGATAAAAATAGACTGGAGGAAAAAATAACATGAATCGATTCTCTTGCTGACGTGTCGATGCATCGGATCGTCGGCTGTTGGATCGATGCATCGATACAAAATGATTATTATTTACACCCCTACTTCAGTCTGATGGGGACTAATAAGATTATTAACAAGTAGATTTGGGGAGATAGTTAAAAAAAAAGTCTTTATAATGTTAAAAAATATAATGATTTAATATGGGTCATTATTCTGCTACATTATCTTATTATATTTACATGCTTCCTAATCTTTCATCATTTTGGATTTTTAATAAACGGATTAAATCACAAAGCGTCATCCATTTTCTTCCATATAACCATGATGTCTACCTATAATTCATGAATATATTTTATATTATATATCTACTGATTGTTCGCTATTTAGTTTTATTTACTATTTATCAGAGAAAATCTCACAAGTCACTAAAAACCTGTTGTGTTTTTTCTTTTCCCAGCTGACTGATAGCGTACGTCGAGGAGTCAGTTTGTTAGTAAGAGACTCTAGAGGTTGCTCCGCGCTGCATCTTGCAGCCCAGAAGGGCCACAGAGATCTGGTCAGCTTCATACTGCAACAAGGTGAGCAACTGGACAGTATGGACAGTATGCTAAAACACGGGATTAGCATGTAGCTGTAACAGGAAGGACACCTGATAACGTGTTACAAGCTCTGCTCTCAGTACTCACCAAGGGATTATTTTCCTGCTGGTTTCTGACCATCCTATGAAAAGCCAGCCGCCACACGTATCAGATCTGCAGCATGTTTGCTAATAAATTACTAAATGTTTATTTGGATGGATATTTGGAAACATAAAAAAAAAATAGTGAAATAAAGTTAAGTATTGATGATGTAGAATTAGAATTAGTTGATGAAATAAAATTTTGAGGTGTCATTTTTGGTGATAAAATTAGTTGGAAGAGACATATACAGCACGTCCGGTCAAAGCTGGCCAGGTGTTTGGCTGTTATACTGTAAATAAAGCCCGGCACCTTCTAACCAAACAAGCTTTACACACATCATACTGCTCATTGTTTCAGCCCTATCTAACCTATTGTGTTGAAGTATGGGGTCACACTAACAAAACAAACATTCAGCCATTGATTATTATGCAAAAGAAAGCAATACGAGTAACGAATAACAAACATAGAGATCACCCTCACTGTTTATTCCTTGAGTCAAGAATTCTCAAATTTGCAGATTTGATCAATTTCAGAGCTGCTAAAATACTTTATAAAGAAAGAAATAACTTACTTCCTTGTTTTCTGATAGAGATGGAAAATATAATCTTAAATTTCAAAACTAAGTATGGTCGAACAACAAGAAGAAGCTTTAGTTTATCAATTAGCGGAGTGAAACTCTGGAACAGCTTGCCTGAAAACATTAAACAATGTAAAAGCATCCAGCAATTCAAAAAAGAATATAAGAAAAGTATTTTTGATTAGTACAAAAAAAAAGAGTAATATATAAAAAGTTGGTATACTGTTTGTTTAACTGTAAATAATTGTCCTTTACCACCATGACTCATGTAACTTAGGGGTAGGGCCTAATAAGCTTATGCTTCATCCTACTCCTTTTTGAAACATGACGCATGTTTATGAAGTATTCAATGTAAACATTGTTGAATCATATCATGTTTCAAAATAAATGAAATGAAAAAAATGTCTCTGCATCTCCACCATTAGTTTCAACCTTACTGTGAAAGAGGGGACATCATCAGTATTTTTACTAGCTTATCAGCAGCAAGAGAGAGGAAGCAGGTGAATGGGTTTCTCCTATACGTTCAGCGTACTGCCGATTGTTTAAATACTAATCAGTCCCAGAACTCTGTGCTCATATCTCTGCAGATGAAGTTTAAAAGACATTGTGTGCAAAGTCAGAGCTCCTTTTTTTCACTGATCCCACTGAGATGGGCACAGTGAAACGCTAAAGTCTGTTTATGAGTCACTGTTTGCGCTTTCTTCACTTTCTTTTCCCTCCTAATTATAGCTATAGTGGCAAAGTCTGTTGTTAAGATTAAAGATTATGTCAAATACATGTTTTTAGCCTAAAAATTTCAGCTTCCTGAGTCTTTTGTTTGGTCATTGGGATGTGCAATTTGGAGGAGTGTGTGCACTTTTGCTAAGTTGTTACTGGAATAGATGAAGTTTGAGAGTCTGTTTAGAACATAAATGAACAGTAAGGATTAAAGTGTTGAGATGGAATCAATTGTTTTATATGCACATAGAAAAAGTGAAGATTTCCAGTAGAATAAGTTAATTAAAACGTACAATTATAAACCTCTTGTTGTGAGTTCAATAACAAAACATTCACATTTAGACTTTATTAATGTTTTTTGTTCCTGTTCTTTGTTTCTCACTCCTCAGGGTCAAAAGTTCTCCTGGATTTAACAGACAGAGACAAGTAGGTTGGAGAATCTGTATTTATTTTACATTTATATCCTAAAGGCTTGAAAAGTAGACGGCGTGTTATAGTGTTTTTAGAGCCAAAGTTTGGTTAATCTTTGTTCAGATTTTAAATCCTACATGCTGCTAATGTTCACTTCCTTTTAGTTTCACATCACTGAGGTTTTCATATTACTGTCATCAGCCTTCAGTATGCCTTCCTGTGTCTGCAGGGGGGAAACGGCCTTGCACAAAGCAGCCTCAGAGAAGCAGCATGCAGTGTGTCGGATGTTGGTGGAGGCAGGTGCATCGCTGGAGAAGACAAACTTCCAGGTAACCAGCAGATCATGCTGTCAACAAACAAGAGGCAGGGGAAGTTTTCTGTCAAAGGAAAATTATTTCCTGAGAAATTGTTCTGATGACATCAAATGGCGTGTCTCATTTATCTAAAAGGGTTTAGCTTTACTTTCAGTTTCACATTAAAAGCACTTCCTTCACTTTAATAAAAAAACATCTCTTTATATCATGTGCAAAAGGTCACTCTGCAGTATGTTAAACCCATCGATCTCCTTTCGAACACCCTCCTTTTGTTTCCAGTTAAAAGTGCTGACGTTAAATGCAAACTCTGTGGTTGAAGCAGCTTTGAGTAAGGGATGAGGAAGAGGAATGACTCTTCTTCCTTACAGGAAAGGCTTTTTAACTTTCCTTATCAACAAAATCGCTCACAAAACCACCAGACTAAACAAAGAGGTTTTACCTAAATACAAATTGTAATTTGCAAGATATTTCCTGCTGTCTTTGGATCCATGTTCTGGATCAAGCTTCACCCCTCTTCATCCATACTCCACAGCTGGTATTAAAAGTTTTTCCTCCTATGCCATGCTTCGTTTTCTCCTAACCCAGTTTTTTTACTTTGTCTCATTTGTCAATCAAATCTTAGTATACTGCCATAACTTCTATTGGCAAAATAAACTTTCTCCTTCAGGCTTCCTGAGAATTCCACCTTTCTTTTATTAGTTTCATGACTTAAACTAAAATATAACATGATAACTGAGGCATACCGACTCTGGGGTTCTTTGGAAATTCCTCTTCCAACGAACCTCCGATTTTACAATCTGACAAATTCACCCCTCAGGCAGTTTGAAATGTTTTCCTCTTGCTGATAATTGGGGACTTCAAGTTATCTGGAGGCGATCGCATACCTCCAACCGCCATGTATAGAAAACTTAATATATACTCACACAGTGTTGTAATACGTGTATCAGTTTTTCCTTTGCTAGAGGGTATTCATCTGTAGTTTATAACAATAACTTTCAAAAGCTAATTTTATTGAGTTTGCTTTTGATACATTTAACGTAGAAGAATATTTGGATATGCCTTGTGCAATTTCAGTCAGCTGGCTTAAAATCTTGAGTCAGAATGCCAAAAAATCATGAAATTAAGTTGATATTTGAGAACTCAAAATGTTATAAGTAATAAATTATAAAAAAGGCACAATGGCTAATTGAGGGTGTGGAGCTGATGTGCCTGAGCAAAAAGTCCGTAGGACATTCTCCCAGAAGCTTTGTGACTTTGCAACATGTCGTATGGCAAATTCCAGTCATTTTTTTGTCCTTCAGTTTGTAGAATTACTTTTCAACGGTGTCCTCCTTGGTCGTCTCCCATTAAGTCCTCTTTGGCTCCAACAACAGATGCTGCGATGTGACACTGATGTTCCCTGGGCTGGAAATTCTGCTTTAATCTCTTTAGAAGTTTTTCTGGGCTCTTTCATGGTCGACTCCCTTAAGTGTCACTTGAAATACAAAGTATTTAGGATCATTTTGATCTGTATGCTAAAAGTAGTTAATAAAGTGAGATTTTTTTGGACTTTAAATAACCTTCAGCGTTATTCATTCCCTTCAGGGGAAGACGGCAGCAGACCAAGCAGCCGGAGACTCTGAGCTGGTAACCTTCCTCATCTCCAAACGGCAGACTGCAACTGGCACCAATGAGGACTTAGAGACTGCTGTCTGAGGCATAAACACGCTCATTTGCTCGAGCTTCGGACTCTGGACTCTGCACAGCCCTCCAGCCTGAGAGTAGCTGAGGGAAGTATCAAACCCGTGCTGGATTTAGGTCTGCGGCGCAGAGACGGACCAGGAAAGGCACTCCCCCTGTACGCAGCGCCGCTGCAGCAGAGATTTTCATGCTCAACTATTTATTTATATTTATTTATTCTATTTATTGGTTGTACTGGTTGGCTGACTTTTAACAATTGCAATTTGTCTTGTAATGGAGTAGTTTTGGTCATATTTTACAACTATATTAAGTCTGGAAGATGGTCAGAGTTGAGATCAAAGCAGTATATTTATCCCATAAAAACCTGTGTGCCAAAGACGTTACACTGCTGTGGTGTCATATCTACTCCAAATATACCACCGGCTCAGGCGTCCTGCGTTGATTTTCATAGGTGTTTAGTTATTAAACCTTCAGTCACATGTCTCTGCTGTGTTTATCATCTGAGTCACCAGTGAGCTGATGTGTCAAAGCTCATTTTATAAGGAAACAAGAACACACCGAACAGGTTTCCTCCTCTTCTCCTAACCAAGGCATTTCCTGGAAACCATCTCGTTCAGAGAGGATATGTGAGTCTTATGTTGGACTTCCCAAGCTTAGACAAGAGTCACAACAGCTGTCTGTAAAAACCTCCAAATTCAACTACAGGGTTCCTTTTTGAAATGATATCAAAGCTTAATTGTTGTGTAAAAGAGTTAAAGGACATCTTTTCTGAATCATCAAAACAAACATGAATGTAGCTCACCTGTAACAAAGATGCTAGCTTTTTTTCCCCCCTATTAGTCACTTCCCATCCTGTCTGTACGGTCAGTCTGGTCTGAAGTGGAGCCAAACTTCGTAAACATCAGTATCTAAAGAAACAGTTTTATTTTGAACACAATAAGCTTAGCTCTACTGTACGGAAAAACCTGCAATTACTTAAAGACACCCGAGATAAAATGTGTAGAAAGCCTTGACATAAAATACTCTGTTGTTGCGGCAGCTGAAGCTTGATTGGAAACAAGTAGATTTAGTTTCTGATGGGAAGATCCCACATTAAGAAAACTGCTGGCAACATTATTAAAACCCCTACTAGGGCTGAACGGTTTTGGAAAATAATCTAATTGCGATTTTTTTTTAGCTTAATATTGCGATTACATACGATTTATTTCTGTCCAGTTTAATTTCTCGTCTTTTGAAACATATATAAACAAATCCATTTCCTAATAATCAGTTTTATTTAAAGCCCAATTACAACAATAATGGAAACAAATCTGCGGCTTTACCTTTTTAACATCTTTTTATGTTTCATGAAACATGATAGGTAAACATATGGACTCCACTCCTTAAACACTGCCAGATTTTAACAGGACTGTCTATAAATAAATAGATAAAATAAGATATGAAAGCAATATTAACTGATCAGTTGCATCACACAAAAGTTGCAAACTGCTCCTCTTTGGCGCCAGACCTTCAGTTGTGTCGGTTTTTGCCGCGTCTGAGGCCATTGTTCAGCAGGTTACTCGCATACGAGAATCAACTTTCCCTCCGTGCTACTTCGATAGAATGTCACCTCCTATCACGTGACCCGTCAAATCGGGGCCTTTGCGTTTAGAAAATCTCTTCTTACCCTATCTTGATATTACTGCAAATGCAATTAATCGTTCAGCCCTATGGGTAATTCTTAGATTTCTGCCATTTTTCACAGCTACCAGCTGGAAGAGTTAACCCTCTCAGGCTCAAATTAAGTTGTAGTCGCAGGAAAAATCTGATATTTGGAGAAAATGATCATATGGGGTAGTAATATACAATTCAGACTTTTTTTTGAGAGAGAGACCTTCACATGCAGTGAATTCTGGGATGTTGCAGATTTGCAACAGTGGCCCGGAGTGGTAAATTAACACTGAAGACTGAATCTGATATGAATGTTAACTTTATTTGAAGGTCGCAAACAAAATTTTAAATTTTCTCTCACAAAATTAGAGACAACTTTCTCTCAAACTTTTTCTCCACCGACATCTCAAAACCTCTTTGGAAGGTTGTTTCTGTTAAACTGTTGCTCAAAATATAGGCAAACTAGTAGATAAAGCATGTAGCATCCATTGGTACCTGTTTGGGCACACGTTGCAAATCCACAACAATGAAATCGAGATGCCTCTGGTGAAAAACCCAGAGGAGATAAAATCTACTAATTGTCATGTGCCATATCTGCAACATCTGCCTGGAGAGGGTTAAGGGTTTAAGTCTGCAGCCTTAAAATAAAGCATTGTTTCCCTTGTTTTAAGCATTTCTATGTTTTGTTTATAGATTGGATCATTATTATGAGAGACCCGGTAAAAAACATTTTCAGTTTCCTAAGTGACCAGACTAATATGTAGAATTTCCTGGTGTTTCCAGAACTTTTTTTTCCTTTTGCCTTTAGACGGGAAACAGCCGAGCCACATCTTAGATGTGGTACTCTGTAATAGACAAAGAGGTGGTTTCCCATCATGTTTGTGTTTTTATTTTGCAGTTCAGTTCAAGACTTGAGTTTTGAAATCATTTTTAAAAATGGCTAAAATCCTAGTCAGGTCATAATTATATCCCAGAGAAAAGGAAAGTCAGGTTTTATTAATAAATACAAATACTAGCAAACACTGGCAGCCATGATTTTTTTTAACAACATTTACTAATGTGGGTGTTTTGGATCCTCCCTGAATATATTTATTTTAAATTAAATGTTCTTTTTTTATTTTATAGCGTCAGATAATGCTACCGCATCAACAGATAAAGGTTTCTCAGGTTTTTTTTACACATGAAAAGCAAGATGTCTGAGTTGGATTTTTTTGGCCTAAAATCTAAATATTCGTTTAAGATTAGCTTATTTTAACACCTTTAAAAAAAAAATATATATATATATATATATAT